TAGGTACATATCATTCGTAAGATCGGATCAAAGAATTGACTGCACGGTTGGTGCGGTGGCTGGACAACCAGCTGCCGTGCAACGTGTCGCGGGTTTGATTCCCGCACGGAATAACACTTTGTGTGATCCACAAATTGTTGTTTCGGGTCTGGGTGTCATGTGTATGTGAACTTGTACGTTTGTAAACGCACCCACGACACAGGAGATAATCCTACTGTGCGGCAACGTTTTAAAAAAGAAAGTAAGAAAGAAAGAACTCCAAAGTCACCCTGTTATCGGCTAGACCACCCGCTCAGTCAACATTATGTAATTAAACAATAATATGTAGATGTAGTAGAAAGAGTTGCATAAAGAATATAAATTAAGCCCTTTATTTGAATTTTAAATTAGACATAAGATTGATATACGATAAAAATATTTAACACCTTATCGGAAGAAACATACTGCATACATAGTAAATTAAAGTTCCTCGTTTTCAGAGCATGAATACTAACATAATAAATATGTAAGTTAGTGGGTTATATAGCACAGTTACACACAAGTTACACCCATCACACCAAAATACATTCGTGTGGTGATTTATAGAATAAACTCAAAACTCCAGAGCATTTTGCATGGCTGCCTCGTCAGCCGAGAGGTCGCAAGTGTGACTGCCGGGCAAGGGGTCTCGGGTTAGATTCCCGAGTCGGGCAAAGTATTACTGGATTTTAAAAAAATCCTCAGTAGTAGCACGGAGTCTAGAATTGTGCCCGGTATATGGCAATAGGCTCACCCCCTATTACATAGGACCCATAACATAAATAGTGAAAAGTGGGTGTTACATTGTACAGTGGCATAATGAGCACCTCTGCCTACCCCTTCGGGGATAAAAGGCGTGATGTCAAAAGCATTTATTTCAATTAAACCATAATTCGGTACTTTTGAAACATAAATAAATATAAAATAAATAATAGTCCGTTCCAAAATGTAGATTCAAGTGGAGAAGAACGAGAAAGAAACTCCATTCGTTACTCTTATAAAAAGGATGTTTTATAATCTCAATAGGAGGTGTAAACTAACAGACGAATGGTAAGCAATCAGCGCCACCCATGGACACCCACAACACGGTGAATGGAGGTTTAACGAAAGCGTTGTTACACGCCGGTTTTATAAAAGGCTGTGGTATGGTATCTATAATTTCTACCGAGTCAGTATTTTCGTACCGATTGTGGCCCATCAGACTGAGCTTTGTAAACTTTGCATTACCTACACTTATTTTAAGGAATTTAAACAAAGAAAATGAATCTAATTTCTTCTGTTATCCCATAAATATTTTTTTTATGGCATAAGCCGGTAAACAAGCCGACGGATCACCTGATGGTAAGCAAAGACACCTGGAACACCAGAGGCGTTACAAGTGCATCACCGGCCTTTTGGGGCTTAGGAGTTTGAGGATCGTTGGGGATTCAGGAATTGCGGAGATTGGGGAAGGGGAGGGTAATTGGGCCTCCGGTAACCTCACTCACACGACAAAACACAACGCAAGCGTTGCTTCACGTCGGTTTTCTGTGAGGCCGTGCATGGTATCACTCCGGTCGAGCCGGCCCATTCGTGCCGAAGCATGGATCTCCCACACTTAAGTTTATTTATAAATGCAATTTATAAATTTACAAATGCAATTCACATTAAAAAACAAATACTTGTAAACAAGCAGTTGACTACAATAAAAACTGGTCTCCATCAGCCATGCCTCACTTAGTCCAAGTGTAATGGCTTCGGAATGGTATTAGTATTGAGGAAACTATTATACGTATCATCATCGTAAACATTTGTTTCATCAAGCTGTACAAAACCTGTTTATCATGGTCTTGTTTTGTATAAGGTTTCCGCACATCCGACGGTCAGATTATACTGGTTTATTTAGGTTTATGTTTAACCGTGTGTATCTAGCTACTGGAGCCAGTTACTAGCATTGTGTAAACGCTCAATAACTGATACGAGTATAAGAAACTTGTCGACAATTCGCGCCATAAATGTGCAAAGCATGGTGCTGCGTAATGTAAATTGGTCTCGGTATAATTTTATCGATGCCCTCGCGATTTATAACGGTTTTGTCCACTAGATGTTATTAATTAAATGTTCTTGAATAATTAGATGATTATAGGTTTCAGGCAAGGCAGTACGTTTAATACCTTCACTAGTTCAAGGGTTAAGCAAAATCTACCGACAGTATGGCCTAAACCTTAATGTTAATGATTCAAAGTGACGTTGTGTTTTGTTTTTCTTTTATATGTTTAGCACACTGTGCAAAAGTTTATCTACGGTCTACAGTTTCATAGCTGTGCCATTCTCATTAGTCGCACAGTAACTGTCCAGTCTATCTAAATCGATTGCATCCCTATTGCCATTGAAACAATGATGCGACAGAGAATTTCGTAATCAAAAATCCCAATATCTTCATCAGCAACAAGCAGTTCTTATCACAAAAGCCACAACCTCAATAAAAACCAATCAGAAAATTCTGTCACACAAGCAGTTGGCACCTCTTTGAACGTTATCTTTGGAATTATAATAGTGTGACTTTAGCCTTATGTAAGGCTATGACAAGTTGCTCAACGCTAACCGCATTGAATTTGATATGCGACCGATTTGGCAATAATGATCCGAGATGTTATTCATAGCAAATAATGTTTTATTCACCTGCGTTAAGATTTAGAATTCAATACTAGTACTTTATGAACTTACGGCGTTTGGTTTACCGATTAGTCAGCATGCTTAGGCCTTTGTTTGAACTGCAGTGTCTTGAATTGTAAACTAAATACAAAAAGATATATTGGTTAGGTATTTCTGAGTCACGACGGAGCTTATCGAAACCGAAATATATGGGTCAATATGTCAACTGAATTATTAATAAGTTGTCAATCAAAATGTGTGGGAGAGCCATGCATGAATGGGCCGGCGCGACCGAAGTGATACCACGGCCTCACAGAAAACCGACGTGAAGTTTGCGTTGTGTATCGTCGTGTGAGTAAGGTTACCGGAGGCCCAATTACCCTACCCTATTGCCATATACCGGGCACAATTCTAGACTCCGTGCTACTACTGAGAATTTTTTGAAAAACCCAGAAATACTTTGCCCGACACGGGAATCGAACCCGAGACCCCTTGCCCGGCAGTCGCACTTGCGACCACTCGGCCAATGAGACAGTCCTTTTTTTTGTCAATTAATTTATTTTGGGACTATTGGGACTGAGTGTGCTGTGTGTACTACAGACATTATTGCACACACTAGGGTGCGATGTCATCACATCCGCGATACATTAATCTATACACATTTACGGCGGCTGCTCGAGCAACCAGGCAGTTACGATTTTCGTACGTTAACTACATAATATACCAATTAAAAAAATACATTACAAATATATAATATACATTTATTATTAACTTGAGTATTGTACAATTCGTAACACAAAATTTATTGCACAAACTAATAAGGTCTAGTAATTTACAGTACAGTTGTTCAAACGTCAACCGAAATTTAAATCAGTGTCAAATAGAGTTTTAGTTCCAATTTTGAAACTAGATGGTGTTGTTAGTTTAAGTCCATTTTCTGAATCGCGGTGTTAAGATTCTCCGCCGTTTAATGACGCTCGGCGAATGTTTTATGATTGTACAGTTCAATAGTAGATCGTAAGAAGATTGTACCTAAGTGTTAATAACAATATACAGTTCAAAGTACATAAAACAGTGGTTTGTGATTGTGTAGTATCCCTGAAGAAATCCCTGTTCAGCCAGATTGGCAGTTGGCAGTAGTTGTTAAGGTTTAGTGCGCCGTGACCAAATTATACAACAGTTATGTTTTGTACATATAACTGTAAATAAACAACGAATAATTAAACGAAACTTAGTTATAGGGAGAAGTTACTGTTAAAAAATATATTTTTTTGGCGAATTACTAACTCCTACAAAAACATAATTACAACTCAAAAATATACATAACCAATCATGGCAATTAACCTGACTGACGAGCAAGAAGTTCCGATTTCGATACCCGTATTGGAAAAGCTAGGTATAAAGTTACTACGCACATAACATTACTAGAGGGGTAATAGGTACCTGTGCATGTTCGCCTACCCTTTGGTAGATTAAAAGTAGATTAAAAATTTTATTAAAAAAAAATATAATCAATTCAGTTGTAAGCGCCTACACCTAATCTCATAGCAACACTCAGCCTCTATCGAATATAACGGTTATTGACATCGCTAGACCATCAGAAGATAGATATCTGAACAACGGCGGTCTCGCCTCTACAAACACATTAGCATACAATGAAATCGTTAACCAACGAGTATTTTCTACGTAACTGCTCGGAATGTCCCATACTTAAAGGTTCAATACACGTCTTCAAGATTTTTTCAATTATTTCCGCTTATGATTACTAGGATGGTTTCTTCTTAGTGATGTTTAAGTGAGGTTCAGTGGATACAAATTACAGAAAAAGTCGTAGTTACATTTAGAGCATTTTACTGCATTACCTTGGTTTGAATGGATTCTTTATTCATTCTTTGAGTTTAAAAACAGTAATTTTCGTTTTATTTAAAAGTTTAGTTGTAGTTAATTTTAAGTTGTAAATATTTATGTAATTATTCAATCAAAGCTGAAAACATAGAAGTTCATTTAACCATTTTTGGAATGGATAGAAAGCAACGGTTACTTTTAGAGTTAATAGTTGCATATTTCGCGTTGTAATCAAATATTATTCTTATTTCTGTTTTTCCAAAATCTGCTTTATAAACCAACTTCTTGTGATACGTTCAGAAATCCTATCCTATCGATAATCGAACAGCTGTCTTGTTTTTGTAATCTGTGCTCTAACCTAACGTCAAAATAATGTCAAAAGCAGTGTGTCATACACCTGTCATTTGCATGGTGTTTTGGCAGTTTGCTACTCGTTGAAACTTTTAGAAAAAAAAAGACGAAAGTGTTCAAAATAAACGTTAACACAAAGTTTAAATGACGTAATGGATCGAGATAGAAGTAAAGATGCCTCCGAAGGTATTGCAGTAAGTATAACTTAAATAGTATTTTTGTTAAAAATTGTTTTATAAAAAGTGGTATCAGTAATTCATTGTCAGCAATTTGTTATTGAGGTTTTTTAGAAGCCAAGGTCAAGTTCGGAACGGTAAATTAATTCTCTGTTGAGTTCTTGGTGCTCGGGTGTGTCCATACTATTTGTAGTGTAAATAATAATCAAGCAGAGTGTATAGACTAGTTGAAGCTAAAATCATTAATCTTTCTCTAGTTTACCAATCTATACTCCATGTATATCTTTTAATACATCTTACATGATCAGCTCTGATGATCATGTCTATGATGTCAATTTTATTTTGTTCAATAATAATATCTGACAATGTAAAAAGTATTAAATAAGCTCGATCCACCAAATATAAAAAAATGCATTTTCTTTAACAACTATGTTTTTGTTTTTTAGCCTATGGGAATCCAAGCATTAAACGATACAGTACTGAGTAATCAGCCGGAGTCTCGTTATGAATGTCCCGTATGCCTCAACTGGCTGCGAGACCCCGTCATCACAACTTGCGGACATAAGTTCTGTAAGAGCTGTATCACTTCATGGTTGCAGTAAGTATTATTAAACATTTTTAAGTCCCTAAACCTTAATAGATTTTAAGATACTTTATTATATTGCTGACTTTGTTTGTTTTCGAACATACTTAATCTCCGGAACTACTGGTTCGATTTGAAATATTATTTTTGTGTTTGATAGTCCATTTATTAAGGAAAGCAATTTATATAGGCAACGAAATGTCACACTACAACTAATAGGAGTAAGCAGAGCAGATGAAACCGCATGGAAGTCGCTAATGAAATGTAGAAAATTAAATGTTATAAGTACCTAGTTAGTGAGCCAAGATAAGACCATTATTTTATTAGTCAGACATTATCCAATACAGGTTGTACTTAACCCGTTGAAATTCATCCCCTAAATTTGTTCATACAAAAGTAGTCTTTAAGCATTCGAAATAAGGTCTATAATATAGGTAGTGGAGAGCGGTCACCGGTGACCGCTTGGCATTCTATGGGTTAAGACATTTGTTTAACCACTGGCCCTCTGCCAACATTGTATTGTAAACAAAAGACGACTTAGAAGAAAATAAAGTGGAAGTTAAACTAGTTATTTAAATGTTATTTTAAGTGTGGAATTTATCAATTTATGAGTGTAATAGCTCCAACATATTTTTGTAGCTATAATGGTTACACTGCAACCAACTTGTTTATTATGTTCCAAAGTTATTTTTCAAATCAAATCAAATCATTTATTTGCTAATATGGGTAAATTAAGTTGTTAGCACATAAGTAGATACAGTTCCGACCATATTACGCCTTGAGGCATGCAAATTACAACATTTATTTTATTGAAATATTTTGTTTGTATTCTTATGGTCTCATACTAATTTGTTTTGTAACTATTATTCTTCAGGAACAGTGGCCACTGCCCCATAGATAACATAAACCTGAGTATGAAGGTGGATATATTCCCGGACAACTACACTAAAAGGGAGATACAAGAACAGAGAATGAACTGCCCATTTTCTACTAAAGGTAAATATATTCTTTTAAAGAAGCAGCTCCTTCTCTGTGTGAGATGAGCTCTTTACTTAGCAGTGGGATAGTTATAGGCTGATGATGATGATGAAGAAGCAGCTTAAGGGCCAATACTTCCAACGGCATACATTTTAACTAAGGAATAACTTTGAATATTTGACAATTCTTCAAAACTAACCCATACATCCCCAAGCGGTCACCGTTGACCACTCTCCACTAACTACATTATAGACCTTATTTCCAATGTTTAGAGACAACTTTTGTATGAACAAATTTAGGGGATGAATTTCAACAGGCTAATAACTATTGAATGTCATCTATATTGTATAGTTTAGGATTAACGGATTGTTGAAACATCAGCTCTTAACCTATAAAACTCGGAGTCGCGGAGAACCTAACGGGTAACCGGGGCTCCGGCTCGACGTGCAGGAGAAGGAACGGGGTGGTTTTTAGTCAGTAAGAGTCTGACACTCCCTTCCGCCTCACCCAGGCGGGAGCAGTCGTTCGATGATTTTCCCCCCTTAAAAAAAAACCTATAAAACTCTTTGTAGATACTTGACAGTGGTTTTCTCTATTCTGAAATAGCTTGACCACCACACTCATGACTAAACTGCCCAACTAATTATGATTAATTATGACATTGTAGATTTATGTGACATTGAAGACTATCAACAGTAATTTTAAGTAATTTAAATCGCAGAAGCGTAACATCAAATTCTTTGTAAAAATCTACTAACAAATATAATTTTCATTCCAGGTTGCACAGTAAAAGTAACTCCACTAGACTTAGATGCTCACATAGCATCATGCGAGTACAATCGACCAGAGACTTCAACACAGCCGGAGATCAGAGTGCCATGTTCTTTCCAAGCTGTCGGCTGCAAGGAGACATTTGATAGCCAGGAGGATATGAACCACCATGCGGAGACTGATGTGCAGAAACATATGAGTGTGAGTATAGATTATATGATGTTAGAAAACCAAATACCTCCATAACTTCACGCCTTTTAATCCTTGGAGAGGTAGGCAGATATGCAATGTAACACTCAAGTTTTCCAGTTATGAAACATTTTACCTAAAAAGCCCTTAAGATTTATCCAAGACACATTTTCTATCATTTAACTATGATAAAAAAAAATATTTCGATTCCCACCATCCACATTGTACCAAATTAATGAACAATGAACCTTGTTCCAAATGAATTAGAGTTTATAATGAAACTACATATCATTTTGTGGCTTGTTCTCTCTATTGAAAAATTGATCAATATTTTCAGCTCCTAATGAATGCGTATTCAGAAATGAAGATTAATAACGACATGTCGAACGCTAGTATTGACGCTAAGGAACAGGAGGCCATGACGCTTTGGGAAGCTCCGGACAAAGACGGTAACCAAGCTGCGGCTCCACCGCTAAATAATACTAGCGCACTTATAAGGTAAGATTACTTTAAATTGGAAATTGTTTAATGATTTGATAGCTTGGGATTTGTACCGCTTAGTGTACGAATACATAAAAAAATCAATTACAGAGAATTTCATAAGAATTGTGTATTAACTCTTCATAAACATAAAGCGGTAGATAGCCCCAACAGGTAATTTGATACAGTAACTACAATACAAATTGACTATACCTAATATTTTTTTCCTTCAACAAAGCCGTTATAATTAATATGTAATAATAACATTTTCAGGGCACTATATGAGAGAGTAGTAGTACTGGAACAAAGGAATCGTGAGCAAGATATAGTGATAGCAAACATGTCCAAGCAATTATCAGCCTTCGCAGTAGCCAAGATGAAGCAAAATAACGACATGTTCCTTCGATACTGTATGGGGAACTATGTGTGGAGGATTGACAACTTTAAGGCACGGCTCGATGCTATGTTGAGGGATCATTATAAAATGCTGTACAGTCCCGGGTTCTATACCTCGCCTAATGGTTACAGGTAAGATTAGTTTTTATATTATTTTCTGCAAAATGTTCTTAGTTCTGAAAGCTTATAAAATACGGATTTGTCTTCACTTAATTTTTTATTGTTTACAATTGGGTACTTCTTTAATGAAACATAAATTATTTTGACTGTTCAATACAATAAAATTTTTAAAATAATCATACTTTCATTTATTGATTTTATGACGAACTTCATTTTAACAAATAAGTATGCTGTTTGGGGCTAAAAAAAAACGTGACGTCACAATACACAATCTCGTACAAAATTCATAGAAAACTGTCGGTTTTGACAGTTCGAAAAAGGTATTGAATTTGATTAGTTGACAAGTACCCAATTGAGCTACATGCTACATTGCCATCAGAGGGCCAAGCACAAATAACTATCGCATTCGTATAGTAACAGTATCGAGTGTATTTAGCGTTCTGATTGGTTGGTTCACTTGAGCCGGCCAATCAGAGCGTCGAACGCGCTCGATACTATTACGATACGAATGCGATAGTTATTCGTGCTTGGCACTCAGTACCATCACCAACTTAAAACTCAATATCAATAAAAGTTTGGTTACTTATATATAATTTTAAAATTCAAACAACAACCGGCTGGAAACGAATACGAAATCAAAAAAGAAATTACTACAATTAGAAATCCCGCTTCATAACGTCCCGAATCGATACTACTGTGTATAGCAGCCACTACCAAAACTCGACCAATAACCAAACCAAAAAGACGTTAATAGAAGTTCTTTTTTTTATTACAGGTTCTGCGTACGCCTAAACATATCACCGCAAAACCCTCATTGCTTCGCACTCCACGTCCATTTAATGAAGACAGAAAACGACGACTGTCTGGACTGGCCGTTCAATGGACGCATTTCCTTCGCAATGATCAACCAGTACAACCCTGAACTGACTCAGAAGGACACCATGATGTCCAACTCCTCACTGATAGCTTTTAGAAAGCCTACAGCAGAGATCTGTGTTAGAGGGTTCGGGTACACAGAATATGCTGTGGTCAGTGACGTGATAAGGAACGGATTTGTCAAAGATGATGTGCTCATATTCAGAGTTGGTATCCGCTGTGTATGACATGAGGAGTAAGTTTTTTGTTCAGTATTTCTCTTTTCTTTTTGTAGGTGTTGTGCAAAATGATCCTCTTTGATGTAAATTGTCATGAAGTGTTTGTACTTTATGTCGTAATCGATTTGTTTGATCCAGGAATTGGTAAGTCTAAAAACGCTTTTATTTTAATTGTAACAACGTTGAATATCTATAATTTTGTTCTACTATAAAACTATTTCCTTTCTCATCTAAAGATCATTTTGCACAGTCCTAAAACAGGTATATAGTTATGGGCCATGTAGTTAATTTTACACAAAAGTATTATTTATGAATTTGTAGCAGCTCAAAAATAGATTCTATGTCAATATTATATACCTATATTGTATAGTCTGTATACATATCTACATTCCGTCCAAAACTTCCATAGTGTTTTTGTCCAATTTTTTAATGAACAAAATGCTGTATTTATTTTTAACTTCTCTCAGGTATTTTAATGTAAGAGAGGTGCCCATTTTGTAGACATAGATCTGTTATTTATTAAGAATCTCCATTGTATAAACTGTATGAAAGATTAAGATAATACGTATACATACATACATATGTAATATAATGTACTTAATAGTCAGAATATATGAAGAATTATAAATGAAAAGAATTCCGTCCATGCCCCAGAGAATTATTAAAATTAAATTATACAAGAGTTAATTATATAATATTATTATTATAGTATATTATAAACGTAGAATATGAGTAATTTTAATATAAATAAATATGTTAGTGACAATTTGATGTCGGAAAGTCAACCTTAACTCATGGGATGCCGGGAGCGTTGATATACGCGAGGCACATGAGACATTATGTGTTTTCTAATATGTCTGATAAGAAGTCATGAAGATTCTCTGAAAAAATATCTATGGACTAGTTTAACCTCTGGTACGTCGGAGCGTATATCTATGCACGATACAATGCGTTTTCTATTGTGTCTCGAATACCGACATACAAGAGGTTAAGAAGTAAACTTAAGATCTGTAAATCAGTATTTTTACGTAATAATGTACTTACATTCCACTTTGTGATCGTCTGGATATTATACACGTTTTTAGAATATTCTAGATTATATTTGTTTGACTTCTGACTCTTGGTGCTTATACATACCTAAATATATTTTGTTTTATCTGTTATTCAATAAAAAATATACACAAAATACGACTTTATTATTTAAACAATAGGGCTCTTAATAAAAAAGCAATTATAATTGAGAATCGATTTATTGGTATCCATGTCTTACAAACGTAAACTTTTACATGCTAATTGTCTTAATAAAATATAGGAATTTAGCTTACATTTGTAATTATGTCTACAATTAGCTAAATTATAGCCTTATCACATCCAACCATCACAATAATTCTCTCCCAAAATATTAATTTTGTTACTTTCATTGACTCGCACATAATTCTGAATTTTGGCAACACCCATTTTTGATTATACATGTACCTACGATTATTTATTTGTTATAAAAAAGTTACAATAATAATTATTTTTTATACAGAATACAACACTGGGTATAAATTACAAAAGTCACTTTCTTGATGGCTTTTTTTCTAATAGCAACACTGGAGAGATTTTACCAAAATCTTAATATAAAAAGAATGTGATCTGTGCTGTGACCTAGATCAAACTCACCACTTTCTCATCCGTAAGTATTAAAAAAAATAAACCATGAATTTTATTTATTTTTACAAAAAGTCTCCATTAAATTAAACATATTTTGCACGTTTAGTTTACATCATAAACAACCATTCACTTTAAGTAGGTAGTGTAACCTTTCAAACTTGCCAAAGACTATCAAATATAATCCTATTGTTACTCTACGAATCACTATAGATAATAAAAACAATTTTGACACGTTGTATATCATACTATACATAGAAATACTTTACGATATTCTTACAAATATATTACAGTACTGACTACTTCGTTATGGCCTGAAAGCAATACCTTGTTTAGAAAAAACCAATATAAATTTTTGAAGCCTACATAACATCACGCCTCTTATTCCCGAAGGGGTAGGCAGAGGTGCACATTATACCACTGTACAATGTAACACCCACTTTTCACTATTTATGTTATGAGTCCCATGTAATATGGGGTGAGAGGGAGAATGAGATGAAGCCTACTATGTATTTTATTCGAAGATACAGTTAGATTCATATCATAAGGATCTCAGCAGAAATATTACTTCAAATAGACAAAAGGGCTATCATCGAATGACTTGGCGAGAGTGAGTACCGGACTGTTACTGACTGACTAAAAACCACCCCGTTCCTACTCCTGCACTTCGAGCTGAAACCCCGGTAACCTGTTAAGTCCTCCGCGGCTCCGTATCAGTATCAGCCCTATTAGGCCATCTGTGGTGGTCTGACGGCTCTTTGAGGCATGCACGGAGGTACCCCTAAAAACTTACTAGCAATATAAATTTTTTTATTCATGATTTAAAATAATGCAGAGTCGAAACGTTACTTTCCATGCATGGTTTTGTATTTAATTAGGGATTTTAATTGAAGAGTAAAAAAATGTTACCATAAACAAATATAATAAACGGAACAAAATTATTTAAAAAAAATGCACTCAGAAGTAAAATAAAAGCATATTACTTGCTCAGATCCTTTATCGCAAGTCTAAATTAAATACCAACATAATAAAGATACAAAATGCATTTCAATAGTTTCAATAACTATAGGTATCCAACTGTACCTTTTACATACCTACACAATTGTATAAAATACAAATACATAAAGTACTTAGTGATTGTTTTTATAATAACTATTGTGAGACATACTAAATTAACTAAAAATCGCGGGTTACTCACGTGAAAATGCTGAGAAAATCTCAAATTTATGCGCAGCGTGCGCGGTCGCGGCGATGTCGCGTAGCCTACTTTCTAAGAACCCCTCTGTGGTTCGAAACTAGTCGAGCTATTCTCAGTATTTTCACGTGAGTTCCCCGCGATTTTTAGTTTATTTAGAATTATTATACAATGTGTGTTCTATGGAAATCTCTGTTCTAAATTTTCTAAGTACTAACACAACTCTATCACACTGTTATGGTAACTTAAGCTAATCTCGTCAAGTTATTAATAACTTAAAGTAATTAAGCTATAAAAGAGCTATTGTATAGAACTTAGAATAATATTCAAAGTACTGTAACATGTATTTGCTATGAAAATCACCCACTGGACACTGAAGAAAATGGTGACACTGGAAAAGGGACTTTATTATGTAAATACAAGTGCTCAAATTTACTTAAAAGTAATATTTTGTGTAAAAAATGGTTCTAGTTGATCTATGCGTGGTAAGCATTCTACGTGTAGTTACTTACTTGTGACTTATAAATATAAAAAACCAATTTCAAATGCCTATGTATAACTGTATGACTAATTAAGAAAAAATCAATCAAATCGTAAATAACATAACGTAATTATTACTAACAAATAAAATATTGCCGATTATTGCAAATCATAATTTGAAATAAATATTTAAAACCGCCATTAATAATACAACGTAATATAAAATATTTTATACATTAATTTTCAAATATACAAAATGTAAACGAACTCAAAACATTTTAGTATAATTTTTGGGAGTTTCATACTCGCACACTCATTCGCTAAACTAGGTAATTTCATATAAAAAGTATTTTTTATTTCAAACTACCCATAACACTATCTTATCAAAATATATTTATTAACACTGATAATAATAGATCTATGAATCTCCACTTTTACTTATTTCAACTCCTGCGCATATAATGTCGGAATACTGAAACGCTACTCAATTTTAAGTCGTGCTTAAGTATAGTTCTATCTCTACAAATTCTTTGTGAAATGACAGAGATGGCACGATATTTGAGCACGACTTAAAATTGAGTAACGTTTCAGTATTCCGGCATAAGCCTCTTTATTTAATATTTTTTATAAATGATGCCGTGTCGTACGTCACATTCGACGCCGTGTCGGACAATGATGACTGACGCTAGTGGATTAGCCTTTACCAGTTTTTTTCGGCAGTTAAAGGCTTAACGCATCATGGTACATGATCAACACCGGACACCCACTACACCAGAGGAGATACAAGAGTGTTGCCAACCTTTAAACTTTTACCATAGAATTATTAGCAGTGTTAAAAACTACTACAGTACTAATTTAACCATCAATTTAAATAGATAAGTAAGTACTAAGATGTTAAAAATTTTGATTTCAAAATTATGTATTATACCTAATAAAAATAAATAATAATACACTCGCGCGCATTTTTAATAACAACTATGCAAAATTTTATTTTCCATTGTTTTTTTTTCTTTTAACATGAGAACTTAGAATAAATTAAATAATATTAACACCAAACAAAATCCGTTTCTCTGCTATATTCGTTGATTTATAATAATAAAACTTAATTAGGTAACAATACCTATGTTTAATTTTGAATTTCGCACATTTTTTTCTTAACAAAATACTTACAGTCACCAAAATTCCAAAACTGTGACATAGAAATTTCAAAAACTATATTATGCCAATTTAAACCGTATTTCACAACTGGAAGGTCGATTTTCAAATAACCAAATAACTAGATACGGTGGTTTCCACAATAATATGTATAAAACATTACGAATACAGATTGAAAACGTTATAAATTAAATAAATACATTTACACATCAATAAAGCCGAATTGGAAAGTTTTGGTTGCCAGGAATATAAATAAGGAAGACGTTTGACGGAAGCGGTGTGACCATACTCTAGTATGATTAAATATAATTATATATATTGTAGGTGCTTAGTTGAAATGGATTAATTCTTTGGCATAAGGTAAAAAATACAAAATGATTATATTCTGTGCAAAAAGGACGTGAATAATGTTTTTTCTTTCATGATGCGCTTGCGTTGTCATTTAATCATAATCTTGTTTTAATTGATGTCTTAAGTCAAAGAATTAACATTCAAAATTCGTTAAAGTCAAACTGTTTCAAGGGCCGGGGTCTAAATATATTATCTTAAACTGCCAAACAATATAATTAAAAAAGTACAACAGTTATCTAACACTTCAAATTTCAACTAGTATTTGTAGTATTAGTACACACGGCAACACATCGAGCTACATAACCAGTATAAACTGAACGTTAAATGTGCAGAAAGATGGTGCGACGTGACACCAGGATAAACTGGTTTATGTGTGGCCGTGTGTACTAGTACTAGTACTATAAATAAAGAAAATATTTAGTTCAATGTTGCCATAGTAATGTCAATAGTTACTTTCAATAAAATCTACAGTTTCAACTGTATACAGTATAAGACACTTTTCAGTCTAAATTATATTCAATTTAGATTGAAAAACTAACTTACCAAACAGTAAAAAACACGGGGATAGGACTAACTGGACTCGTAAGACTAAACACATCACTAGTGCCATCTAGTGAGAACCAAGCCGAAAACCTAATTGATTAAAAAATACTTTTTTTCTTTCTTTTAAGATTGATTGGCAATTAAGATAACACATTTTAGACCGATGGAATGTATAAATAAAATAACAAATATGTAATAACATGATGCGAGTGTATGGAATATTATTGAATTATAACAGAAATTATTTCCAACGGTTATCCTACGCAAGCTCTATAATTTCTACTTATCACAGTCACGGTAAACAAATGCATTTTATGTTTTTAATCACACGACAAATATTTGAAAGTGAGAAATCAAATATTTTTATCTTTTCAATGTGCAGTTGAAGAATAATGAGCATTTAGTTTCACTTCAAAATTTTTATTGTTGACTTTCAAAAGTGCCTTCCTGGTCTAATTAAAATAAATGATTTTTGACTTTAACTTTGAATAATTCGTCAATTTTTTTCTCAGTTTTAGTTGTTGTTATGGGCAGCAGGTCAACCTCCTCTTTTCTGACAAATCTGTTTATTAGATTTTCAACTCTATCGTTTAGATATAAAGTCGAAATTCCAATGACAAAAATTGACACATTGGAGTAGATTGATGTGTTGGGCACAGTACAATACGTCATTAAAACGTCATTTCTACGAATAGAATGTACATAGAAGTGACGTCACGCGACATTTCAAATCAATATATCGTCGAAAGTAATCGTTTCTGTAAGAAAATAAAAAATACGTGTCTAATGATTTAAAATAATCTACCAGACGGGCATTAAAATAAAAATTAGGCGTCTATTGTAAATTCAGGCAATCTTCAACTGCACACAAAAGAGAACTATTACAGAAATAAAATGATTTACATACGAATATTATACTTATATATAAACAGACGTTGTAGATATTCTACCTATATTTTCCAATAGCGCAAAAAGCAATATAAAAAGGTATTTATGACCTAAATACATTAAAAACTGATACATTCATGCCCAAATACTGAAACGCTACTCAACTTTAAGTTGTACTTAAATATCGTGCCATCTCTTTCATTTTACAAAGAGAGAGAGAGAGAGAGACAGAACTATTCAACATAAAATTGAGTGGCGATTGAGTATTTGGACATCAGACAACTACTTACAACTAACTTTAAGTGAAAACTTAACTCTAAATTACATGAAACATTTAATAATATAAATAACATATAGTTATAAGTATGAAGATCATATAAATTGCTATTTAAATCTAAGTTTGTGATTATATTTCGATCTCGAATCCAATTTCTAGCCAAATCTTTGCTCAGAATCTCACACACGAATCTATATATTGTCAACAACTTGTCTTTCTAATTATTCTAATATCAAACTTAAACGCGATTGAATTAAGGTTGATATTAGAATATAAAGTTAGAACACCCTCTATTATAACAATGAACACAGGATTTCAAGTCATTTAACTTTTTCTATTCGAATGTAGTCTCTTGATGGCCAGTCACAAAAATCTACATATCTTTTAGGGATAACAAAAATAGAATTTTGACACATTCTGTAATAAAGCTCATGTCGAAATTCTATCTCATTAGGGAAGATTATGACTCTTTGTATTTGAAGTTACTAGAGTATACAAAATGAGGATTATTTATATTTAAAACGATTGTATAATTGGGTACTTGCCAACTAGTCGAATTCAATACTTTTTTCGAACGACAGATCCCTATGAATTTTGTACGAGATTGTGTATTGTGACGTGACGTTTTTTTAGCGTCAAACAGCATACTTATTTCTTTAAAAATTGCCAGAAAAATACTAAAATTAAGTTTGTCATAAAATCAATTAATGGAAGTGTGATTATTTTTTAATTTTTTATTGTATTGTACAGTCGAAATAATTTATTATTGATTAAGGAAAGTAGGTACTCATTACTACAACGCATAGTAACTTAAAATACCAATAGTCAAATTCTCAAATCAAATCTACAGACAGGTAACTTATTGAGACTAGCCATAAACCATAATAGTATGTTGAGACTGTATCAATTGTAATTATTCATATGTTGTTGAATAATAACATCTACCACGTCGACATAAGGTTCAAATTCAAACTCCATGTTTTTCTCCCTTCCTTTAGCTTATTGAATTCTTATCCAAGATTCTATTGATAAATATGAAAGCTAATGCTTGTTGAGTCAAAGCGTTACTTTTAAATCAGTTCTTCCCATTACGGTTCCCGTATAAATATCGTATATCCAATTAAATATACTTACTTATGGTGGCAGTATTATTTAGTGATGGTACTATCATAAAATAGAAATAGTAAATTTGTAGTTACATTTTATTGCACTCTGTAGAACCCGACTAGTATTCAAATTAAATTACTTTGCAGGGTTGCCAATCGTACATTTATACATAGAATTGTTCTGTATGTATGTGCCTGTGTATGCTGATGCTATGTACTGCATATTGATCAAAATATATAGTATATATTTTCAACATCCAATATTAAATTCACTGGAAAAATCATAGAAGTGTTGGCAACCCCACCCTCATACCTTTCCAACAGGTAAAACGTAATGTAAATAGATAACAAGTATTAAACAATACTTCTTCAGTGTAAACGTCAGCTCACTCCAATCTGTGTAGACAATAGATTCTCAACCTCTGAGCTAAAACTGCTGCCCAATCTATCAATAGATTTATGACCTATACCTTTGTAAATAGAGTCAATAATCCATTGAAGAAATATCTGCATGCTTCTTTAAGAATCACCATCACTGAATAACACTACCAATATGAACTTTAATCCTTCATACGGAGCTGCTAGAATCGCCTGGGAAATGCAGCTGGTTGTCACCGCCGCAGCTTGGGGTCGGCGAAGACGGCGGGTCGAGGGACGCGCGTGACGCTGAGCTAAAACTGCTAGAACTAAGCTCTTCTTGTTCTGTCTCGTATCGACCGCCTGTTGTTGTTACTGGAAATTGGGAAATTGGTGTGTGAAAATAGTGTTTAATGGAAGACTTTGAGTCAAATTAATTTTGTATTATGAGTAGTATAATGTCTTCGCTATTAAAAACTGTGTTAGAAAAATATGAATCAGGACAATATGATTATGTTTTCTTACTTTTTTGTAATAATGTATTTGTGATGGTGATGGTGATGGATGATGATGATAACATTACAATTATGTATTTTAATCCTCTGTAAAGGTTTCATAGATTTATTTTGTCGTGTCTAAACGTGGTTTCACGCGAGACACAATGTATTTCCTATTGTATATGAGATACAGGCATTCAAGCGGTTAATAATAAAACAGTTCCACTGAAGCAATCGTCTTGAAAACGACATTATGCTTCAGTGTTTCTGCCTGAACTGAGAGTCAAAAACGTTGTCATTTGTGTGATGGTGTGTGACCGGTACTATGCCACTACACAGTGAATACCAATTCTTTCACACACATTAAATTAAATTAAATCGAAATATACCAATAAGTCAAAATAAAACTTCAAAAATGCTGTTTTTGAATTCTCATCTTTATTATGTTTGATACTATCCTGATTTTTTAAACACTCCATAACTTTATCAACAGAACAGAACAGAACAGTACAGCCAAAGTATATAATATCACACGCGAACATTTAAGCTTGAGAACATCGCATAAGTTTTATACACTGATATATATTATATACCTTGCTTATTTATATACATACTATACTTAGGCCCACATCAATGTGAACGGTTTATAATCAAACATGGTAGAACTGCATCTCGTCTATGGGATCTGTTATTCTGATCACGACTTGGCTATGGTGTAGCGTGAGCATGTTTGTCCAATTACTGTAGCTGTAAAAAATTATGTGCGCATAGACTGCACATTACCAAAGAGGTAATTGGACAAGGGAATTTTCGCTACACGTCGCTTTCGTAAACTAAGCCCTCATTCCGTCGCGGGCATTTATACTTCTCTAGTTTCTTTCTATTCTATTTAGATACAATTCTGTATGATAGTAAAAAAGCCAGAAAAATGGTATTTGATGCTGCCAGCATGTTGATGGTTTATTTACATACATTTCACATCGATCATGGTCTAAGTATAAGTACTTATTTTTGAAATCCACGTTCACATTATAAGCCAAATCCAAATTTTTTATAAACAAAAATCTTAAACTTATTTTTATGTTGTGTGTCAAGCAATAACGAGTCTAAAGTATAAGTAAGCAAGGTACATTTTATTACGCAATATTGCTAGCAGTTCCACACATCTATAGCTCGTCTGCATAAGATTTAAATGTACAAGATTATTTATTATGCATGAATTATTACAACAAAAATGATTGAATAATTATATAGAAGACAATATATTTAACAATGTATAAAGTTAGTAGATTGAACTATTATTTACATACATTCATAATTATAATTCTCGTGGGACATAAAATTAAATATATTTTTACGGTTTACTCACGTAATTGTTTCTTTTGTCGCGCAATATTCCTCAAGGCTATGATCCCTGAGCGTGGCTTGAAACTAATCGAGGAACAGTTACGTCAGTGAGCCGTATAATATAATTAATTTATATTCATATTATTAGTAAATAGTAATACATGAGTTGGTCATAAAGGAAGGACAAATTATAGTTATGTTAGAAATAATTCCGCGTGTAAAAGTAGGCAAGTTGAAGACGATGAGAACATTTTGTTTTCGAAGCTAAAATCCCAAAATAAAAAATATTCTGTCCGAAAATATGAATGTTTTCCTTTCTTAACAAATACATGAATTCATCGACAAAAGTATTACGTTCAGTTTTTAAGCTGCCGTTAGTAATTTACCTAGGAATAAAAATAATAGCCGACTACGTAGCAACCCAAAATTAGTTGTATTTCATTGTTGAATCCACATTATAAGTAAATATACCAAAATAAGTACTACCTACATGAAAAATTAAACTAATATTATAAATTCGCACCAAGTTGTTACGACTTGTGTTAAACCAAAATTATTATTATTAAGAAATATGCTCTAGCGAAACATGAATGTTCAACAAAGAGCATCATTATAATTATTACGAGAAAATAAATAGTCCTTAAAACTTTCTAATTTAGATCTTTTCTGAAAACCTATTTTATTATTTTGGAGATCTTAATAACCATTATAACAATAATTTCATAATTTAATTTCATTCATTTACCAAAATGAATAAGTCTTTTAGATAGAGGGCACACATGACCAAACATCTTAACCAACTTTCGTTTTATGGAAACAAATCCTTAATTAAAACCCTTAGAACATAATATTCATCGTCAAATTATAAATAGCATTATGCACCAACTATATACGTATTGACTTAATTGTAATCGGAATAATTTCACCGAAAAAATTAATGATCACGCGTAAATTATATAAAAAAATAAATATTTGTCATGATTCAACATATTAAAGCTAAATAAAATTAGAAAAAAACATTGGTTAATAAATAATACTTGTCGATAGTTACGATATATTTGTACACAAGGACAGCCGTACGTGAGAAGGTATTATATACCGGGGTGACTAAGTCATAAGCGTTGGGCTACTTCTGAATAAGACATAAGAAAGTACCGTGAAACTCCTAAACCCAACTAAGCACATTATTTGCCGCACATTAATAGATATTGATCTAATTCGTAGCACGCCAAACCTAACCCTGAACAGGTCTTCTGGAAAATGTGCCTAATTGACATAGTTCGACCAAATCGACACTAGCAACGAATTTATTATTTCTACCCCATTCAGTGTCGCCGGTCGTAATAGATGCCGTAATATCCAATTCAGAAACAGCCAACTGAGGCAAAGCATCAATAAATTAATACTGAGGTACGATCGCAATATAATAACATGTTTATAATAAAAATGAGCCTCAATTATATCAAGGTCAGAAATTAACGATCTGTTCTGAAAACTTCGACCTCTAAAGTAACTGATTGCAAAATATATAACATACTGTATCCATATAATATGGTAAAGCGTTATTGTAGGGTAAGCAAGGGTCTGTGTATACTGGCCTTTACGTAAGATCTTGCATGGCGCGTAGAAAAACAGTGTTTAGTTTTTTTTATTTGATTTTTTGTTTCCACAATTTATGCAATTTTATTCATCTACACCCTAATAACTAAATAAACAAGAGATAAGTACTAAAAAGAGTACCATTATACAAAAAATGTAAGAGATTTTTTATGAAGACCGTTACGCCGAGTCGTGATTCGATAATATCAAAATGTTTCCCGAAACCTATAAACTATGAGTACATGCATATTTATATTAATACTTTTCAAATTTCTAGGACTTTTTGGTCTTCATAAAAAATCTAATAACTTTTATTTTTTGTGTATTTTGCTAGATTTTTACATTTTTATGTTAATTTTTTTGATATGACATAAATACCGCTACTGAACAACGATAAAAGGTCATCGCCTAAATAGTAATGTTAGGCTTTAGTAGCAAATATTTTAAAATCACTTTTTTTTACAAACATTTTAAGATTTTTTTGTCTTTTACCTGTGCTTAATCACAAAAATTGCATTACTTAACTAAGATTACTACAACAGCAGCAAATGTTTGATTCTAACCGCGTAAACAAGACATATTCAGCTATAGACAATCAATCCAAAGTATCTGGTGATATTCTTTAGGCTGTGGTGCCTCAAATGACACTACTAAAACAAACAAAAGTGATATGATTTTCCTGACATTTTTACTTAATCCGTTACTTTATTTAAATTAATTTAATGTGACTAAACACGTAATAATAGTTACAAATTAATAAGAACCACAAAAAAAAATAGTATAAAAATAAATCATTCCCAAAAATATTGTATTGTATTTAAAATTATATTCAAGCTTTGAAACATCAAATTAGTTATTAAATATTGATATCACATGTAGATACCTGAAAGATGAGACTTTCAACTCAGGTATGTTGCACATCTCACCATCAGTGGATGAAAGCATAAACTACTTTTAACTTTTACTGTATTGCCGCAAAATATTCAACTACCTAAAATCTACTGATATCCTTAAAATAAACCACTACATCCAGTTCAGCCCTTAGTAAAATTATTACAATATTAAAGCGAATGTAAGCTGAATATGTCTTTGATTTAAACTACGATAAATATTGCAAAAATCGAAAATTGAACATTAATATCACTGAACACATTTTATTACTTTTTCTTCTTACGCGACTTTTTAGACTTAGACGATTGCTTTGTCGAAGGCATGGTTACATTAGAAGCACCAGTTGGTTTCTTGTCCTCTTTGTCACTGTCCAATGACGCCAAGGGAGATGACACATCATCATCCGAAGATTTCTCCATTACCCCTGTATCTTTGTCGTCAGATTTATCTTCGTCAATCTTCACTTCATGAGATGTTATTTTATCGTTTTCAACTACACTAAAGCCTTTCTCTTTCTTTAACGGAACCTTTTCCAAATCGATTAGGTTGAATGCACTAGATTCTATAGTCTTGTTTGTCGTTTCTTTTATGGTCGACAATATGTTGTCAATGTTTATCTTGCATATAGGACTCGAGACTGCCCCTTCGTTCATTTCCAGTAGACTGTCTCGCATCACCTCTAGCTTGAAATCATCTAAACCGAAGTCCAAAGGTTCCAACGGTGGAAGGTCCCGAACTGAATGATGTTCTTCAACAAAATTTAGTTCTGCAGGAGCATCGCACTGGGCTACCATGATATCAGGCCTTTTGCAAAGTTCAATAAGTTTATCTTGCAAAGACACCTGATCGGAAGACCCGTCCTCTACGTTCATATCTTTAGCTTTAAGACCCTTTCTTCTTTCTCTTTCTTTTCGATTTCTATTCTTTCTTCAGTAATCTTATCATTTTTAGACGCAGCAATAGAACTCCAAGATTTAATAGGTCTATCCTCCTGAGTCACCTTCTCAGGTTGAGGTGATTTCTTTCGGGTCTTACTGGCTTTAGTTATCTGAATTTCGGGGAAATCTTCCTTCATGGTATCTATCACATAAACATCTGTAACCTCTGTTTCATAGCGTTTGTCGGTTGATTTACGATCAGCATAAGGGGATGGAGATTTAGTTTTCTTGGTTTGTGTGGATTCTTTCAAAGGGGAGGCAGTTTGCTCAGTTCCTTCAGTGACTTTAAGTGAGTCTGTTATAAGTATTCCTATCTCTGAATCACTAGATTTGTTTTTTGAAATTGGTTCAGACCATTCATCGTTGACATCATCATCGACATTTTGTATTTTAGGCAAGCTACTAGTTTCTGAGTCGTCGAGTGCCCAAATAGCTCTAGGATCAAAGTCATGTCTTCTCTCTGGAGTAGCACTTTTAGTTGACCGTGACTTTTTAGCTTTTGCTAAGAAAGACACGGGTTCAATATCATCATAAGGTGTTGATATAGAAACTAGATCACCGCTAGAAGGCTGTGGTTTATCTTCGATTGTATGTATCTCTACAAATGTATCTTCATCCTTCACTTGAGCATCATCCTGAGACTTCTTACCCTTTCGATTTTTCTTAGATTTTGGTTTAGGTTCCTCGGAAATTTTTTCTTCGGCAGGTGGTTTATTAGGCACAATTGGTTTCTCCGGCTCGTTCAAGAGCATATCCCAAGCTTGTTCTTCAGTTTTAATGACTTCCACATCTTTTTCTCTTACAGACCTTGACTCAGATTTTTTCTTAGACGATAATTTTAAAGTAACGCTCGCTGAGGATGACTCCTCGCGAGTATCAACGGAAGCAATGGTATCCGACTCCCTTAAGGGATGTTCTTTCATGACAGGGTCTTTTGTTACTAATTCTTTTGCAATAACATCTTTTGGAAGTTCTTTCGGAACAGACTCTCTGGAAGCTATCTTCTTTGACACAGATTCTTTCACTACAATCTCTTTTGGTACAGATTCCCTTGAACCAGTTACCTTAGGTACGGATTCTTTTGGAACATGCTCCTTTGGAACAAATTCTTTCTGAACAGGCTCCATCTTAGCAACTCTTTCTACTTTAGGAGTAGACTCCCTACGCTCTCGTACCTCACTAGACCTAGAAGCCCTCGAGCCTTCATCTCGCAACCGAGGGCTTTCCCTAATTCTACTAGATTTCTTATCCCTAGAGTTAACATCGGTATCCGACTTTGGGGTGGGAGATCGCCTAACTGTAGGTGGGGCGGCCGGTTGAATATCACCCGACTGCCTCTGTTTTGGCAGTGTGTCGGGAGGCGCCTGGCAGGCTCGCTCGGCAGGCGCCAAGCTCCTCGCACTCCGTCTAGCATCCCTCATCTCTCGCATCGCCTCCTCGTTTATACTACACTTATCTAAATTAAAACTAATGATGTCGTCGTCTTGCAGGGCGGCGGGGATGACGACGGACGTGGGCAGGCCGCGCGGGGGCGCGGACGGGGGCGCGGGCTCCGTCACGGTCTGCACCGGGATAGTAGTGGTGAGTGGCAGCGGGCGCGCCGCGTCCTCGGGGCGCGCCTCGGGCGGCGCGGGCGCGCGCAGCACGGGCCTGAACGTGGCCTCGTCGCAGTTGGAGGCGGCGAAGGGCTCGGGCCAGGCGGCGGGCGGCGAGGCGGGCGGCGGCTGCACCACGGTGCCCAGCGGGTCCACGGCGCGCGCCACGCAGCGCGGGCGCGGGCCGGGCGCCGCGGGGGGGCTGCAGTCGCTCGCCGCCCCTATACGAAACCGAAGGCAACCGTTATTCGAGTGCGGAGGAGGTCGGCGTGCCGGGCGCAGCCCTACTGGTCGGTAACAGGGTGCCTTTGGCTTCGGTATAGGGCCGGCGGCGGGCTTACACTCCGCGGAACTATCCGACGACTCCTCCGCTTGTTACTTCGCTCTTGGATATTCACTCGATGGTAAACGAATTCCAAAAACTTTTCACATCCGCAACACACATTTCATATGCACAAATCGCAACCACATGAACGCATTATCAACAAAATTTAATATCAATAACATATTCCTAACTGACCCGATATTGATATAAATTATTAGAGTCAAACAAGGTGTCTCTGGAACTATCGATCAAACAAAACCGAAGCACAAAGGTTTCACGCTTCTGTTTAATTTCATTCATACATAAGACACCTCGTACAAAACGTTAGAAATTAAATTTAAAATAACTAACCGTTGTCTGCCGTATATAGATTTATTTAAACCCTCTTAACCCTTTGCGATCAATGTATCATATTACTTCTATTGTTCGAGTTTCTCTATCTAGATCGATCGATCGATCGATTTTGGATGTTACAAGCCGCAAGATCAAATGAAGGGTTCGAGTCGCACAGGGCCTACCCTACTTGAATAGTATATGTGACTAAGCTGTTGAATTATATCTATCGATATAATGATACAGGGTGACTAGAAAACTGACGTTCATCAATTTGTGGTGCCCCGTATTGTATTTATAATACTCGACACGAACGATAACCAGATTTTTCATGGTGGAGGCAAGTTTGTGTATTTTGACATTATTATTCAATTTCACGTTATTTTATTATTCTCATGTTAACGTTCTTCCAAATAGACATGAATAATACTAAATAATAGGAAAGAATACTCGATGCGCGAATTTATTCAACGAAATATCTGAGGGCTCAGTACGAATTTGTTTTATATTAACGAAACGTCACCACGTTTAGCCCGATGTTTCGATTTATGGGTCGACGTGCTCTATTACAGACCGCATCATCGCTTACCACCAGGCAAGATAGTGGTCAAACGTCGGCCCATTAAATAGAAAAAAAAGCACTCTGATTGGTTGATTATTTACAGCAGGCCAATCAGAGGGCCAAGCACGAATAACTATCGCATTCGTATCGTAACAGTATCGAGCGAGTTAAGCGTTCTGATTGGTTGGTTCACTTGAGCCGGCCCATCAGAGCGCCGAATGCGCTCGATAATGTTACGTTACGAATACGATAGTTATTCGTGCTTAGTACTCAGAGCGCCGAACGTGGTAACATTTCGATCTCAATAAACGTAAAAAAAACATATGTCATGATTCGAGTCAGGGACTATAATTTTCTACTATTTTTCATAGTTTTTCGATACAAAATTATTAAATGTAAACAATACATACCATGGTCCTCCTTCATAGCCTCCGCTAAGTCCTCTCTCAGCTGCACGTCACAGACTGAGGCCGCGCGTCCAGTTTCCGCTAACAACGACTTGCGACGGAAACTGTCCGACGGAGAATGTTCTAGAGAACCTGGGGACAATATTGTGATAGTTGTATTAATTCTTTTGTGGACTTTGATATCTTTATATATATAACTAGCTTCTGCCCGCGACTTCGTACGCGCAATCCCATTTCCCCCCGTTCCCTTTCGTGATTTTCGGTAAAACTAAAAAAAAAAATTTAGATAAAAAGTATCCTATGTCCGTCTCCTGGTTCTAAGCTACCTCCCTACCAATTTTCAGCCAAATCTATTCTGCCGTTCTTGAGTTATCAGTGGTGTAACTAACACGACTTTCTTTTATATATATAGATATAGATTCTTCCGTGAGTGTGTATGTCACTGAACTTCACTCAAACGACTGGACCGATTTTGATGAAATTTTTTGTGTGTGTTCAAGGGGATCTGGGAATGGTTTAGATTCACAAATCATCCCGGCAGATGGTGCTGCAGTCGGTCTCTAGGTTAGTTATCCTAAACGGCTGAACTAATTTGAATGAATTTTTGTTTATACATTCAAGTGGATATGCAGGATAACGTCTGTCGGGTCTGCTAGTAGACATATAAGAGTCGAATCGCCGTACAAAAAATGCCTGACCTCGAAAGCATAAGGAGGCTGGGCCTCCTTACAGACATTTCTCAATTCAGTGTTCAATATGGCTCGTTGGTCGCAATTGCTACTACCGGGCAAGGGGTCTCGGGTTCGATTGCCGGGTCGGGCAAAGTATTACTGGGCGTTTTCAAAAAATCTCAGTAGTAGCACGGAGTCTGGAATTGTGCCCGGTATATAGCAACAGGCTCACCCCCTATTACATGGGACTCATAACATAAATAGTGAAAAGTGGGTGTTACATTGTACAGTGGCATTAAGTGCCGTAATGTACACCTCTGCCTTCGGGGATAAAAGGCGTGATGTTGTGAATAAAGCGACCGGTTGGACGTAATGTGCACGCTTGTCAAGCAAGTTAAAAGCATTCAATTTATTAGAAAGCGCTGCTACTAATAGCATAATATTGGTATCTTTTACTTTTCTACAAATTTATTTTTCATTCAAAATGGAAAGCTATGTCATAACTTGCATGTACTTACTGGCAGATCCAGAGTCTATGAGGACAGGTACAACGGGTCTAACACCGGGCATATTGACCGGGTTGGAACGAGCGACGCCGCGGGCAGCGCTAGTATCCACTTCTACTGTCTCCGCTTCAGACAGGGACGAGCTTGATCTGTACAAAAAATATCATTAATAAGTTTTATCTAACACTAAAGGATGTTTATTCATATTATAAATGTGAAAGTGTGTGTGTCTGTTTGTTTATATGTCCGTCTTTCAAAGCACGGCAACAATTTTGCATCTTTTTGTGAAGTCTGTCATCGACCCCTAAATTAACGCAAGCGAAGTCGCAGTAGTTAGTTATGTGATAAAGCTTATTCACGTACATGTTTGACGAGGTATTTCGACTTGTTTCAAGATACTCTAGGGGCTTATAGTAATGAATAGCTTTGTAATAGTACATAATATAGTATGTTAGTTTTATATTGTAGTATAGTATTAATATGGACCTTCGTTGCTTGATGTAAATAAATGAATAAATAAAAAATATATAAACCGAATTAACTAAAAATCGCGGGTTACTCACGTGAAGTACTCACAGTAGGCAGCGCGACATCGCCGCGACCGCGCACGCTGCTCATGAGGAAGAACCCCTCTTTGGTTCGAAACTAGTAGAGCTTTTCTCAGTATATTCACGTGAGTAACCCGTGATTTTTAGTTAATTTAGTATGTCTCACGATGGTTATTGTATAAATATATAAATTGTACGATATAATATAGATGAACTTACCCAGTGCAGTTATAGGTTTTGAAAACGAACTGCGGTCCCATCCAGAGTCGTCGATGTGGTCCAGCGTGGGTCACTATCTCCACTTGCGACAACCAACGCTCTTCCTCACTCATGCACATGTCCGCGCACCTCTGTAGCAAATATACACATTACATATCTTTGATTAAAATGATAAACTAATGATTTTGTGTAAAATGGAACTTTAACCCTTTGAGTACCGTCATTATAGACACAATTAAAGAACAATAGTGTGCGGTCATCGGTGTCCTCGCGGTGTTTGACAGTTTAAGACTGCCTAGTTGGCCGAGTGGTCGCAAGTGCGACTGCTGTGGCAAAGGTACTCGGGTTCGATTCCCGGGTCAGGCAAATTTTACTGGGTTTAAAAAAAAACTCAATAGTAGCACGGAGCCTGAAATTGTGCCCGGTATATGGCAAAAGGCTCACCTCCTATTACATGGGACTCATAACATGAATAGTGAAAAGTGGGTGTTACATTCTACAGTGGCATAATGTGCACCTATGCCTACCCCTTCGGAGATAAAAGGCGTGATGTTATGTTATTTGTCGCAAAAATATGATGACGTCGTAAGATGGTATTTCGAACAAAATTCATAGAACAGTATCGTTTTTGACGTTTCGATAAAAGTATTGAATTTTATTTATTTATTTATTTACACTTTATTGTACACCATAAAAACATACATAAAAAAACAAACATAAAAGAATGTGCACAATGGGCGGTCTTATCGCAGAATGCGATTTCTTCCAGACAACCTATTTGACTAGTTGTCAACTAGCGTACTATTGTAAGTTAATCAAAAGCTATGTGACGCGTACCCTGCAAGTCTGCGGCTGCAGTAGTGGGTTGGAGGGCGGGAGTGGCGCCAACAGGTCGGCGGCGGCGGCCGGGCGCTGCAGCGGCCACTGCGACACTGCCTCCACCTCCAACTCGATCGCGGAGTCGTCGCAGATCTTCTCCTTGGGTATGGCTGTAACATACATTCATATGTACATTTCTTTCGTGCTAGTATGCCAGGTTCTGTTATACTTTCATTAAGTCTGTTTTCTCATTAATATTGCTTACTTTCGTCCTCTTCTTATCCATTCATCCATATTTGCAATTGTTTATTTGTACCTATTGTATGCGCGAAATGTAAATTTCTTTATGTAAAATAACCACATTATCGTAATCCAGTAATTCAATCTGTCTCAATTTTTCAATCGATTTTGAACCCTAGCCTTCCTAGCTTTGGAATAAAATCGAACTTTTAAAAATATAGTCGGAAATAGCTACATTTAAAAAAATATTTTTACGTACATACATACATTACTTCACGCCTGGCTACCATGGGGGTAGGCTGAGACTATGTAACGCCAATTACTACGATTCCTACATACTTCTTTCGCTTCATCAATACAATTCTTTTTAATTCTTCTAAGATCTTTTTAACTATGAATAATTCTTACAGGACAGCGGTCGAGGATGCAGCAGGAGGTGTAGCAGCGAGCCGTTGGCGGCCATGAGGTAGAGCGCGGCGACGGGCGCGGGCGCGCGGCCCGACCCGGACCCGCACAGCGCGGGACCGAACCGCGCGCGGGCCAGCAGCGGCGCCGCGCCCGGCTCCTCCGACAGCGACGACAGGCGCTGCCGACCTGCCCGGGACATTTACAAAGAAAATTGTGAAATGTGTCTCATAAAACGAACAAAGGCCTACAAATTTTGGCAGGTACCGAACCATAACACCCTTTTAGTGATACCACGGCCTCACAGAAAACCGACGTGAAGCAACGCTTGCGTTGTGTTTCGTCGTGTGAGTGAGGTTACCGGAGGTCCAATTACCCCCCTCCCCAATCTCCCCAATTCCTGAGTCCCCAACGATCCTCAAACTCCTAATCCCCAAAAGGCCGGTAACGCACTTGTAACGCCTCTGGTGTTCCAGATGTCCATGGGCGATTGCTTACCATCAGGTGATCCGTCGGCTCGTTTACCGGCTTATGCCATAAAAAAAATCACCCTCGTATAAACTGAAAAATCTCCAATCCGCCTGCCAAGTGAAGAGATCAAATACTCTTAAAGGCCCAGAGTCCAATTAATAGTACAATGTCACGGCCTTATAATGTTGAAGTTATCATTTTTAAACTTTTAAAATGTTATTTTTATTATAATTGGAACAAAGGATTAGAAGTTGTCTACTTACCAGAGCTATTCCTAGTGATGGTGTGCGTGGGTATGTTGGCAGTGGGGCGTAGTTGCGCGAGGGGAGATAGTGTCGTGGGGATGGGGTACGGGGGGAGGCGGGGTTGGGGAACCACGCGCCTTGGGCCAGTGTATCGCCGACCTGGGAGTGACCAAATTGATTAGTATTTTCACATAATTATGCTAACAAAGAGCAGTTAAGATTGTGAATATGATCCCTTATAGGAAATTAGGGCCATATTGACATTTTTATTTGTAGTAAACATAAAAAAATTAACTATCATCGTCACCATAAAGATAAGAACAGTATTCCAGTATGTGATATCACTGTTTCTAAGATGTTTGACTGTTGTTGTTTGAGACTTCGGTTAAAAGAGTTATTATAATGCGAGTGCACAAATGTACTCGTTGTTTCCCATTCACAATCCGACCTCCTCATCTTACCATGAGATATTACTTTAATGCTAAGGATCTGCAAAATAGTGAACTTACCGGCGTAGCTCGTTTCCCGGGTACTCCGTGTATGGGTAACCCAGCCGAGCGATGGAATCGCGACAGTCGATTGACAACGCGCGGCTGAGTATGTGTCCGTACGCCGACGGCGCCCCCATACGGGGAGATCGCGAACACGTGCGTAGTGCCGCGGAGCGACGATATTGCAGCCCAACGACTGTCGCAGGATATTGCTATGTCCTGGGGAAACATTTTTGTTCAATATATTTGTTGTATTTCCGTGATTAAATATACTTTAATTACGCGATTACAAACAGGGACAAATCCAAAAGTAGGGTAATGAATGATATAATTATAAGACCCAATTTTTTAATTGTAATGGTCACCGCCATTAACACCAACGTTGACATCATTGCACATTCAGCATTTTAACGTTATTTATATTTATCTTACGAAATTATTTTGTTAACTTTACCCCCCCCCCCCCTTTCCTCCACATTACACTCCGCCTCGACTTTAAAACCATTTACTCAACTCTATAATTAAATCAGCACTCTATTTATTTCAAACAATTTACCTGCACTTTAGCCGTAGTATCCCCCCTGTGCAGTATGTAGAGATGGTGTACGGAAGCCAGGCTGGAGCCACAAGGGTGCGGGTTGATCCTGAACACATGGAAGTCGTGGCCGCGGCGGTCCGCAGTCACCAACAACATACCACTAGCGTCAAACTTCAGAGCTATTATTGCTTCCGAGTGCGCTATGAAGTGAGCCACGATTGGATCGAATGTCTCTTCATTGTCTTGGCCGTCGTCTTCCTCGTTACCCTGGAATTTGAAATTGTTTTGTTAATATGTGAAGGAAAAGTTAGTCTTAATAAGTTAAGTTAGACTTTAAGTTGATTGGCATAAAGCTGATAATAGTTGGCAATTATATTTAAACCAATAAAGGAAATTTTTTTTAAACTAAAAAAGTGCAACACCAGCTAGCACCTTTTTGTACTTTTGTCCTTCTGGTATGACTCAAAACTGTCACTGAATTAAGTAAGAACAAAGACAACTGACATAATTTTTAGACAAAAAAAACATCCCAATATCCTCAACCGCCTTTGAAAATGCTAACCCGAACAGAGTAATTATGAAATACTTAATTTTTGGGAAATAACATTAACCACATCATACCTCAATATCCAATATGGTGACTACTCCAGGCTGCTGCACATCAGTGTTGGGTGGTGATGGAGATTGGGAGGTGCTTCGCCCCCCAGCAAGACTGTGGGCCACGCTCTCTCCAAGCCCACGGAGGCCTTTGCTGAGAGACTTTGCGGCATGCAGCACTGTTGCTGTGTAGCTGGTCACACCTTCGGCTGATGAAGAGATATTTTGAGGTCATTGTTTTGTTTTATATATACAAATGCAAGACATAATTAATCCTCAAAGCCCGCCTTTTTAAGGATATTTTAAGTTAAGATAGGTGACACTTAACGACATACAAGTGACACCTAATAGTACAAGGGGTTTGTTCAGCTGCTCCCTCATGCTAAGTAACATTTAGTTAAGATATGGCATAGTTGGTGAAAATGGCCATTGTGACCACTAAGTCTACTAGATTTACGGCCGATTTTCCAACGCCAGATAAATTTTTGAAAATGAGGAATAACTTTGAATATTTGACAATTGGGTACTTGCCAACTATTCAAATTCAATATTTTTTTCAACTGTCAAAAACGACAATTTACTACGAATTTTGTACGAGATTGTGTATTGTGATGTCACATTTTATTAGCATCAAACTGCATACTTATTTCTTAAATATTAGCTGGAAAAATACTAAAATTAAGTTAGTCATAAAATCAATTAATGAAAGTATAATTATTTTTCCATATTTTATTGTATTGAACGGTCGAAATAATTTCTTTTTATTAAGGAAAGTACCCAATTTTTCCATACCTACTAAATACTGTCAAATATCAATTTTATTGTACAGTTAAAAATTTACTAATGATTGAAAAATCGGCCCTTAGGGGTAATAGTAATACGGAGATGCGGAGAACCTAACGGGTTACCGAGGCCCCGGCTCGAAGTGTAGGAGTAGGAACGGGGTGGTTTTTAGTCAGTAAGAGTCTGACACTATCCTGCCTCACCCGGGCGGGAGAAGTCATTGGATGATTTTCCCCTCAAAAAAGGGGGTAATAGTAAAGACCATTTCTGTCTGTTTTTACTATGAGAACCAAATGTAATAATTCGAATAAGTTTCACACTGAAATTAGTCGCTCATGAATTACTTGTTTATTCTATTCCCTTTAAAGGACCTAAGTTGGCCTTAACCTGTAACCCTGTCTGCACTTTAAATAACGATGATTATGTATAAATACCTAATTAATTAGCGATTTGTTTAATTTATTAATGTAAATAAACTGCATAATTAGTCTGTAAGTAGTTAGATACGGGGAACATAACATAACATTACATCACGCCTTCTAACCCCGATGGGGTAGGCAGAGGTGCACATTACGGCACTTAATGCCACTGTACAATATGGAAAACCTAATTACGTATACCCTGTACAATGTAACATACGGGGAACGTGACAGTATGATTTTATTATTTATTATATTATGTCCCTTAGACAAAAATACAACAGGTTCATTCGATTCAATAAGAATCGCTTCTTACGATCCAATGAAAAATTAATTGAAATTAGACTTAATAAAATCAAAAATACTGTTATATAGCAATATGGTCAATAATAAAAATCTAGGTTTTAAACATAAACAATAAATAAAAAAATAACCGCTACAAGTACTATCGCAATAAAGAACACCGCACTACGCACACACGCGCACGCATTAGTCACGCACGCGTATAAAAACATGATATGCAGTGGTGTAAGGTCAACAATACTAACACATACATACATTTTATAAATAAAGTCAACAGCCTTTAATAAAAAAACAAAAGAAGTTAAGAAGTTTTGTATTATAATATCTTCCTTGTATTTATTTGTTTAGATATGGATTTAAATTTCTTAGTAGTAGCACGGAGTCGGGAATTGTACCCGGTATATGGCAATAGGCTCACCCCCTACTACATGGGACTCATAACATAAATAGTGAAAGTGGATGTTACATTGTACAGTGGCATTAAGTGCCGTAATGTGCACCTCTACCTACCTTCGGGGATAAAAGGCATAAAATTATGTTATATGGATTTAATTCATCGGACTAATTCTATGAGCTAAGATATAACCCACATTATAATAATGTTAGCAGTTTATTTGTGTATTTCTTTGTATAAAAACTACATATATACAAACGCTAGCACATTTGCCCTAATCTGTCTTCTTTAATAGATATTCGACTGTATTATTAATAAAGTTAAGTTGAAAATCAAAGACAAGAAAATTGGATTTGAGGCGGCTTGGTCTTTGGTGCCTGACATAATCAGATTTAAAAAAATCAGCATATTTGTTAGTCTGTAGTTTTAAGATAGCCTATCTAACACGCTAGTTTTGGCGTGGCATCACGCTAGTCTTAGCGTGATAGATAAGCAGAGCAGTTTAAATCTACAGAATCTATAGATAGCCTGGTTTCAGTATAGTATCACGCTTTCTACGTGTATGTCTACTTCGTTAAAAACTACGCATTATAAATTATAATAGGGATGATGCCCGGATGTGAAAATTAAAAATCTATTTAATCCGTAATTTAGGTAATGAAAAAATATTAGACACGTATTTTATCTATCTATACTTATAATAAATCTGTAGAGATGTCAATTCTGTACATAAAATATATTTAAAAAATAACTATCAAGGGGTGTTTAGGGATCGCTACTGATGCCAAAAATGCAATCAATAAAATTTTTGTCTGTCTGTCTGTCTGTCTGTATGTTCGTTATGGAAACAAAAACTACTCGACGGATTTTAACGAAATTTGGCACAATTATTCTTCATACTCTTGGGCAGGTTATAGTATACTTTTCATTACGCTGCGATCAATAGGAGCAGAGCAGTGAAAGAAAATGTTGGGAAAACGGGAGAAGTTACTCCATTTTTTAAGCTTCCGTCGCGTGTGCAGGCTTTTAGGTTAAAGCTACATAGAAATCATGTATGACGGAAATAGTCTCCTTAAAATTAGGCATATAAAAATATTCCTCGACAGCATATGTCTATCTTTTATGGTTGACTCACAATAACACGTGAAACTCCCGATAGCTTAGCAATTCGGTGATTGTATTTGTCTACTCTAACGTTTACAATACTCATTCATAGACTTTACGCTGTAACTGAAAGGCGAATTGTTGAAATTAGCTTGACTCGATATTATAAATGAAAATATGTGAGTTTATGTGTATGTTTGTTACTCAGTCATATTAAAACGACTGAAGGGACCGGAATGAAATTCGGAACAGAGGTAGATTATGGTCTGAAGTGATACATAGGCATTTTACCCCTGGGATCGCGGGCGAAGCCGCTGGCAGAAGCTAGTTGTATAATAAAATAATATCTACTTAGATAAAACAAATCAAAGTTTAGGAGTGGGGGCTAAAACGTCATTTCTATGTATAAAATGTACATAGAAGTGACGTCACGCGACATTTCAAATCAATATATCGTCGAAAGTATTCGTTTCCGTAAGAAAATAAAAAATACGTGTCTAATGATTTAAAATAATCTACCAGACGGACATTAAAATAAAAATTAGGCATCTACCCTATTATTGACAAATGGCCGTCAGTTCACGTCCACGAAGTCCACGAAGGTGGACCGTGACATTGACACATTTAAATGTGTCATAATATTTCCATGGCTTTTATTAAAAATAGACTGCAACGTTGACCTAGTATTTGTATGCGGCTACGAAGAAGAATGAAGAGGTATTCTTAGAATTTAGAATTTATAATTTTGTATATCCAAAATACATAACATAACATATATAACATGATGCCTTATATCCCCGACGGGGTAGGCAGAGGTGCACATAACGGCACTTTATGCCACTGTACAATTTAATACCCACTTTTCACTATTTATGTCATAAATCCCATGTGATGAGGGGTGAGCCTATTGCTACCGGCCACAAATATAAAGTTTATTATTGTGGTGCCTTAAATAAATACACGGATAATACTTAGATACACGGTACCAACCGTGTATCATGTAAGAAGTTAAACTAGACGATACTATAGTGTCGTTTTTAACTCGCAATGTAATAGAGGGCTAGCCCAACAACCATTAAATTGATAAGAATAGACATAATTCCAGACTAAATGCTAATATGAAGTAATAAAAAAAATCAATAGTCCAATGACTAATCTACGATTGAACTCTTAACCTTGTCAAGATTAATCCTCTTGCAATAAACTTGGTTCTTTGAACGATATGAGTTTGAATCTTCGAAAACCATAAGAAGTCTACCGAAATTCAGTTAAAGGGTATACAAGAAAGAACCTTGCGAATTGACCAAGACAATATATCTTGGTATTGGTATGTTCCAAGGACTTCTAGTAAAACCCTTTTGTAGTTAGACAGGATCGATATTTCGTTGTCAGCGTGCATAGTACAATGCAGACAAGAGCATTAGTCACCAGTATTGCGTATTAAGTGTAGAATCGACCGTTATACACACTTAGGTACTCTCATATTATTTACTTCGAACAATGCTTTGTTGCAAATAAGGTTTTGTTTGGTTCAGTAACGCCAGAATACTGAGAGGCTACTGAATTTTAAACTGGACTTAAATATTGTGCCATCTCTGTAATTTTGTCACACATTTGAATTGTTTTCACACAATCGAAACAACAAAACTATGTAACTAGAGTATTGTATTGTAAACCCGATTGAAAAATAGTAACCTATGGAGTTTCTTGCTCATTCTTCTCCATAGGAATCTACGCCCTGGAATGAGCAACTAGCTTCACTTCTAAATTTTTGTTGTTGACGTTTAAAAGTGCCTTCCTGGTCTAATTGAAATAAATGATTTATGAAATAAATAATACTTAAGCACGACTAAATATTGAGTGGCGTTTGAGTATTTGAACTTAAGACTGACTTGCGAGTTACTCACTTAAATATACTGAGAAAAGTTCTACCTACTAGTTTCATACCACAGAGGGACACTTCCTCATGAGCAGCGTGCGCGGTCGCGGCGATGTCGCGCAGTTTACTCAAAATTCGAAACTAGTGGAGCATTTCTCAGTACATTTGTGTAATCCGTAAATTTTTAGTTAATAAATAAATAAATAAACAACAATTTATTAGATAGAGTATTCAAAACAATTTTCTTTTGTTTATGAAAACTGTTCAAGGTGCTACCTTATTTATATTTGTTTTGATGTAAAATTAGATAACACTTATCATCTTGAGTTATCATAACTATACAATCGATGTTTTGAACCAGTGTCACCTCTATTTACTAGGATATTATGCTACATAACTTTTCTATATTATCTTAATATAGAAATGCACAGACTAGGAACATATCTAATTAGTTAAGTAATGTTTTATTGAACTTACTAATGATATACTAAAGTGTTTCTTCATGATCAAGACAAGGGATTTATATGAAATAGATACAATTAGCCATATCCATTTTCTATTTATCATTTAAGTGAGAATTAACGGTTGCATCATTTTTGTATGCATTATTTACACTTACTTCAAAATGTTTGTTGCAGATTTATATAATACATAAACGGTGCTATTTATTTGATACGAAGGTCTGATTTGTAATACAGCAACATCAATAAGCCCCTGACAGTTGCCAGTTAACTCCTGGACTATTAGACTCCTCACCTCATATGAGAAAAGGACACCAGTGGTAGTGCGAAACAAACAGCATATTAATAGTCATTTTCCATTAATTAAATAGAATTCAATTTAGACTGTCCATTAAGCAAGACTGCCTTGTTGGCCGAGTGGTTGCAACTGCTGCTGGCGGGCAAGGGATATCGGGTTTGATTCCCGGGACGGGCAAAGTATTTATAAGACATGTAGAATAGAAAACCAAATTATATGGAATTGACGTAAATTTTGATACTTGTCAGTGTCATCCCCATACATTTAGTTTTCTACTGTCTCTGTAGACAAGCGCTAAAGTAGCGTTTGGCTAAAGGCACTGGACAGTTAATAGTAGTTCATACGATCCATTGTCGGCGACAGAGGGGTACATAATTTATTAGCACGTTCACATTTATGCGCCGCGGTCAGTCTGTTACTGGTTGCAGTCATAACATTTTGAATATTTCAAATGTTTGGACACTTTAATGTCAAATGTAGTTTATGCTGTACTTTATACACAATACTTTTGTGTGATTAAATAACATTCTATACATAGGCCTTTTATGTATATATAGGCAGAGGTGCACATTACGGCACTTGATACCACTCTACAATGTAACACCCACTTTTCACTATTTATGTTATGAGTCCCATGTAATACGGGGTGAGCCTATTGCCATATACCGGGCACATTTCCAGACTCCGTGCTACCACTGAGATTTTTAAAAACCCAGTAATTCTTTGCTCGACCCGGGAATCGAACCCGAGACCCCTTGCTCGGCAGTCGCACTTGCGACCACTCGGCCAACGAGGCAGTCTAAGATTATTTATATTTAAAATTAACTATAAATATTTATCCGAGGATATGGACTAAAGTCTTAAACGAAAGTCACGCCACCCGACAAACGGAAATCGGGATAAATACGGGAGAATGTAGAATTCATATTTGGCAAACATTTGGCAGAGCACAGGTAATAATAAAGCATTGTCGTCATGGAATCATTTTAAGTCATACATACATAATAATTATACAATGGAAATGTTTAGAGTAATTGCTGCCAATAATATTCGTGACAACAGCTTGTTGGTAGGCGGGCCTTATTTATGATTTACACAACACGTGTAAAACTCATTGAAGAGAATCTCGGTGCAGTACTCAGCACCGAGATTATTAACTCTTAACGAACTTACAAATACGAACATATGCATTAATTGCTGGTGGATTTTAGTGTTACATTGTTTTCGCACAATCCAAACAACAAAACTATTACAAGAGAATTGTATTGTGAACCTGATTGAAAAAGAGATTCTTGCTCGTTCTTCTCCATAGGAATCTACACCTTGGAATGAGCAAATAGCTTCACTTTTAATTTTTTTTTGTTGACGTTCAAAAGTGCTTTTCTAGTCTAATTGAAATAAATGATTTTGACATTTTTGTGGTACTTATTAAAAAAGTATGTACTAACTAGTTTTGTATGTACTTTTTAGCCCCCATACACAATAGCGGCCAACCGCGCGGCTAGCCGACCAGTGCGTTTGGCCGCTTTTCTAGTTTAAGATGCAACCGCGATACAATAGCTATCACAACCACGTCAGGCAATACAAACCACCTAGGCTGTCACCCGCTAGTGTGTAAGGGGGCTTAGCTTCTGTTCCGTATGTACTATAAGGTACTGCTATTAAGGTGGATGGCGCTCTGTAATTTCCACCTAACCCAATGGTACAAAGGCGTGACATTTTGTGTAAACGTCCGATTGTTCGTGATCCCTGTCTCACGCTCTTTACATACGGTCTCACAAAAAGTCGTATGTTTTAATCATTCAATGTTATCACTACGATACGTGTGTGTCATTGAACTCAATACATCGTAGTATTTTCGATCTACTATACTAATTAAGTGTTCGTCCAATTTGTCTGTAATTAATAAACAATTCTGAACTACTTACTACTGTTATAATTTTACTACTTGATTAGTTAATTTGTTGGATTGAATTTTAACTCGTCGAGTACCGTATTTATAGACACAATTAAAGAAAAATAGGTTGCGGTCACCGGTGACCGCTTGGTGTTTGACAGTTTAAACTGGTAAAGAAATAGAACATACATCTTCGTCTTCCCGGCTCACTAAACTTCAGCGACTTCAGTACAAGACTAGAATAGCTTCAAACAAAACTTAGGTACTATAGATATTTCGTATGTATAACACGTAAGTAGTATTTGATAAGACACGTTTTGTTCGTGAAACTTCTGTGCCTTTTACTTGAGTGTATAATAACAAATGTACATAATGAATCGTTCTTGTAAAAGTTGTTGATAAAGTCGATGAGTTATTTTTATTGCGTTTACAATAACTTGCTTAGTTATAATAGCTGGGATACTGTAAAGAATAATGCAATATGGGTACTTATATGGGGTTTATAGTTTAAACTGTCAAACACCGCGCGGTCACCGGTGACCTATTATTATTGTTCTTTAATTGTGTCTATAATGACGGTACTCAAAGAGTTAAGTAGTATAAAGCTGGAAGCAGGCATTTTCATCATCATCAGCCTAATGGCGGATTAGGAGAGGTACAGAATCTCACACTGTCTACAGTCTAGATATTTTACGGAGCGAAGGGCTTAACGGGATACCGGGGCTCCACCGGTTCGAAGTGCAAAAGTAGGAACGGGGTAGTTTTTAGTCAGAAAGAAACTGACACTCCCTCTCGCCTCACGCAGGCGGGAAAAGTAATTGGTTGATTTCCCCCTCAAAAAAAGTCTAGATATTTTACCCAGAAAGCTTTAGATTTCTAATAAAAGGTATATTCTGTTTGCAAAATCTTACCTTCACACCCCCCACTGCTCCTCTTGGACTGGTTAAGTTTCTTATCAGCGTATGCTAACCAGCGGTCTCCAAGCGCCAACGGGTTGATTGGCAAGCTGCCGCCCAAAGGACATGGGCAGGGGTAACAAGTAGTGACGGCCATTCGGTCTTCTAGAGTAGCAGCGTCGAATATCGCAAAACGTTCGGAAAACGACACCACCACTGATCGCTTGTTTGCCAACACATCGAGAATGGGGTTCTTGAATTTGATGCTTTTTACCTGTCGTATGAGAAAGGAAAATGGTCATTGGCGGTCAGTTTTATATGAGTCATGAGTTGAATCATAAGGCGTTTTCTTATTACAGCTCAAAGTTTCTTGTTTTTAGAAGGATGTGCTTTCGAGAAAGGGGTCTCAGAGTAGGTACTATTCTCGGTTTGGACAAAGCATTGTTGTATTTTTCCTATGTGTCCGGATTAGATCAATTACATGGGACTCATAACATAACTGGTGAAAAGTGGTTCATAACATAACATAACATCACGGCTTTTATCCCCGAAGGGATAGGCAGAGCTGCACATAACGGCACTTTATGCCAATGTACAATGTAACACCCACTTTTCACAATTTATGTTATGAGTCCCATTCCCATGTAATAGGGGGTGAGCCTATTGCCATATACCGAGCACAATTCCAGACTCCGCTAATACATTGCCTGATCTGGGAATCGAACCTGAGACTTCGGTGAAAAGTGGTTCCTACAGTGAAAATGAGCAATTCTGCCTACCTCCTCAAGGATGAAAAGCTATTTTCTTATTCGCCAACGACTACACCCACACCCACAGAAATTACTGCATAATATTAAGTAAGTAGACTAAAGCCACGCCACGCCTCCAAAACGTCACATAATAAAGACAATTTTGTTTACAATTCGATAAAAACAATATCCAGTTTAATGGCCGAAAGTATAACGAGCAATCTGTTTCCCGCATAGAACTGAGTAAATGGTTATTATGTCTACAACCTACATAGTACATACATGATACGAAGCACACACGTGTAAGCTGGGTCAACAGAACTTATCTTTTCTATTATTATTCTTACTGAATATTAAACAGGAATAGCAGTGTGCCATGTAGGAATATATTTACTTTAAGTCTAAATGCTAGGTAAAGTTTGTTATTTTAGTTTTTTACCAATGTTGTCTTACACCAGGGCCTTATCTTGTGCGATCATAAACACATATTTGGTGTACACAATACAGCCTCATTCAAAATAAGAATTTGATTTTTGTGCAGTGCAGTTGATACGTATCAACGCCGCACATGGAAGTATGAACACCCACGTACGCAGTTGGAGTGGTGGAGTTATAAGTGCATAGCTGGCCTTTAGAAGGGAGAGATTGGGCCTCCGATAACCTCATCTTACAATTCGTTTTACCACCTTATAAATCCTTACTTATACTATAAATCGGAAAGTGAGTTTGTTTGTTTGTTTTTTTGTTTGTTCTGCTTTCACGCCGTAACTTCTAAACCGATTGCTTTGAAATTTTGCAGACGTAAAGTTAGAAGTCTGTATTAAATAATAGGGTACTTATATCCCGGAAAACTTTGATATTTCTGAGAAAAACAAAAATATTGGTATAGAAGGCGCTGTGTGTATTGGTATAGATGGCACTGTATGGGGGCCGTTCAAGTATTACGTAAGCACCAAGGGGGGGTGGGGGGGTCTCTGTTTTGCTTATTTTGGATGACATGGGGGGGGGGGGGGTCTAGATGATGATTACGTCATCGTTAGTTATTCAAGTTTTTTCGGGGATTCCCGCAAATAATACATATGCGTAGGCACTCGCTTTGAGAACTGATTAGGGGAATTACCGCGCATTAGGGAAATTACCGTGCGCTATTCACTTGTATAATAATTCGCTCTCGTGCCGGCCAGCTGCAAGTGCGCATCTATCAGTATTGTTTTGTTTGGATTCTAAACGTATTGTAAGCATTGAAAGTTATCATTTGTGTTTATGTTGATGCAATTAGCCAAAGTTTAACGTTTTAATTATTTAAATTTAAATATCTTATTAGAATGTCATATCATATAGACAAATCCAAGTTATACCAAAACTGTTCGAAAGTTTTAAAAAATCTCATACTGGACAAAATCGGATGAAAATGAGCAGACTCACAACACTGAGCAGCAATCCAATGTCATCGATAACTTAGAATCATGGATTCAGGTTTCATGGACTGAAGACTGTTAATGTGTTCCGAAAATATTCTTTATGTTAGTTATGTTCTTTATTTCTGATTATATTTTTTGTCATTTACTCTATGTGTATCAGTTAAACCTAATATTTCCATGAATTTTCCTATTTTAAAAATAACAATATAAAAAAACATTTATTACTAAAAATGTTTACGTAAGCATAGGGGGAGGGAGTAAGTGCTTTGCTTATTTTTTATGACAAGGGGGCGGGGGGGTAAAAAATGGCAAGAAATCTGCTTACGTAATACTTGAACGGCCCCATGTCATTTAAAATCAGTCAACGAATTACCTACTTATTGGAAAAATTTAAATAACGATATAACCGAATTCTACGCGAGTGGAAAGCTATTTGTTTGTTTGCCTGTCTTAAACGGCAGAACGGAGGTACTAATTAGAAGGTAGTTGAAGGGATGGATAGTCACATAGGCTACTTTTTATCCTTTTGTGACGCGAGCGAAGCCGCGGGTAAAAGCTAGTGATCAAATAAATAAAATTGTTTAAACTCACCTGTTCACCACCTCTGATAGAAATGAAACTGAGTGAGCAAAAAGATGGGCCGGGGCTGGCAGAATCACACAAGGCAATAAGGGGCCTCTTCGACGCGAAGCAGTCGCCGTGCTGCGGAGTAGGCAGTATACGGAGCACCCTCACTGTGCCTTGTCGCCATGACAACACCTCCTGGGCCTCCCCAGTAGGGGGTATCAGCCAGACTTGGACACCAGCTCCGTAGCCCAGGATTAGGAGCAACGGAGACACATCACTGTCACTGTCGCCTTCGGGTGTTGGCTCGTTTATATCTGCTGTTTCAAACCTGTGTAAAAAAGTTTAATTTGATTCAATTTAAAAAAAAGTTACATCTCTAAAAAGTTTGTATTAGTATTTCAAATGCCGTAAAAATTGCCAGTTAGTAGTAGTATGAACCTTTATGTAACTAACTAATCAATTCTATTATCAATTTAAATGATAATAATACTATGACCTTGACAATGACATAGTATGAATTCATCACCATTTTAAATGCAATTTAGCAAATCATATGTAAGGAAAGGTATTTATTATTATACAAATACATAAGGAATTGAAATAGCATCCATCTTCTTACATTCCCTAGACAAATTAATGTAATCAATAGCCTATACAAGCCTACACAAAGAGCACTGGGAGTTCAAAATGAATTATTCATATTTACTTTTATTTAAAATTAGTTATCTTTATTTCTTTGTTTAAAAAAATTATGTTGGATTACATACTTCTGAATCACACAATACAATGTCACAATATTTTACTACATAATGCAATTTTAAGTAACAAGTACATTGATTACAATATTTAAGACAAGTTTAGGGAGTATTTTCGTAACTTTTTATAAAAGAATAAACGTTTATTTTTTATAAATTATCCATAGGAATTAGTTAAGGAATATAAAGTCGATTCCTCTTTTTTTAAAGGAAAGTGAACCAAATCGGGACCAACCATCAGTTTTACAGCTAAATAAAGACAAGTTATGCTGATCACCAGTTAAACTGTTTAAATTATTGATTCCAAAGTCAAATAAGATTAAAGGATTAATTAATAGAACTTAAGGTAGTTTCTTATACTTCTACCTACACAAATATAAAAAAAATCTTATTGGAATTAACACGTTGAAATCCATCCCCTAAATTTGGTCATACAAAAGTAGTCTCTAAACATTGGAAATAAGGTCTATAATGTAATGTAATGTTAGAGGAGAGCGGTCACCGGTGACCGCTTGGGGATCTATGGGTTAAGTCTTTGGAATATATGGGAGTCCTTACCTTGCCCACTGTATAACATCTTTAGGGTCTACTGATGATGAAGAGGAAAGTGTCACGTCGTTGATGAAGCCGGAGACGGCATCGATGATGCTGCGGTCACTTGGTGGCTGGGAGGGCACGGTCAGTGGCCCTCCTGACCGCACATGTCGTGGCGACTCCGCTGACATGCTGAATGAGCGTCGCCTGGAGGAATAAAACTCTATTAGTCCTTGCTACCATTACATACTATAATATAGAACAACCTAGAATCTTCTGTCTGTTTGTGAGGTACTTACTCCAAAATTACTAAGCAAATTTTTGTACGGTTTTCATTAAAGGATAGAATGATTCAAGAATATGAATGTGCCAGTACTATAGACTAGGTAGAAAAAAAATTAGTTATCCTTCAAAATACTGGAGTGTGTGAGTTTAGAAAAGCTTAGAAATAGTCACTTAAAATTATCCTAGTAAGACTATTGACCTACCCTCATAAATCACATAGTTTTAATATATGTTCTAATTATCACTACTTAGGACTCACATTGGTTTTCTTTCACATTAAAACAATGATTCACCTATCAGTCACCATATGATAAAAATACCCCACATAAATCTATTTTACTGATCAACTATCTATTTCTTACAAAAGAATAACAAATGAGATAAGACACTGATAAATATGTATGAACTAAGAAAATAATAGAAATAGGCAGATAGTATTTTGATAAAAATCATCCGTGTAGCTACTCTTACAAAAGAATATTTAATACTGGCTGATTTTTTTGCCTTATTAACTATTGCAATGTAAGGATGCAATACTAGAGAAGTTGATGCAATAGACAAGGAAAATATTTAAATACAAACTTACCTTAGTAAGATGCTGAATGTAATGTAACCTTGGCCGTTTTGTTCTAATAATGTGTATTGTTAAGTTAAAAATGTAGGTAACTTAATACTACGAATTTTTACTCTTTAATTCCTACTTCTTCTCATTTTTTATGTCACAATTGATTGTCAATGTACTTAGAAACTAAATAGGAAGAATTTATTGCTAGGGAACACTTGGATTGAATTAAATTAATTTCTATTTGTAGGAGCTACTAATCGTCTTCATTAACACTAGGGAACTACTTAATTATAATAAAGGAAGGTAGGAGGTCTAATTAGAACGATTTTTAACAAATGAATCGTAAAATGGTAGTGCAAAAAAATACTGGCACCTTCATTTGTCTTTCACAAAAAAATAAAATTAAAAAGGTAGTAGACAACAAAACTTGAAAACAGAACGATCGAATTATTGATTCGAAAATACTAACACAGATTACATAAGGCAAAACAAACAATATCACACAACTTTATAAATCAATACTGTATACAATCGTAGATTATCAACACCAAAATGTTTATGTTGTTTCGAAACAGCTGGTAGATCTACTCTAACACTGAGTAAGTAGCTATATACTTCAAACATAAAAGGGGACCGAGGACAAAGGAAATCGATGAAGTGTATTCACCCTACGTTGCGAACTAATCTAACTTTATTAAATGCGTAATATGAGCATAATATGCGTCTTACATAACACACTCACCTTGTTTACGAAAACAATTCTCATTTTAAATCCATTTTCGAGTAAAATGCTATTGCGTCGTACTGGCAGTCGAAAACAATGACGTCACACGAGAATAAAAACAAAACTCTAAACAAACATAACTCACTCGCGCACTCAATCAATTATTTTATAATAACACTCTCATTAAATAAATAATCAAAAATAAATTAGATTTTATGTACAAAATATACAACAATTTACGGAACAGATGATTTGAATGACAATACCCTAACGCCCACTTGTTCGTTTGTAGATGTGTGTGTGTGTCATACGACAAAGCATTCGTTTCATTTGTGTACGTGAATACAGTAATACACACTTACACATTGTATCACTGTGTGGAACACTCCGAGTCATAGACAACGATATTACTCAGATGCGATGCGATGCGACATAGCAACTACTTATTAGAATCCACTTAACACTTAGCGATAGACCTTACAATAGAAATTTTAATTTACGCCCAAATATTGCTTCACTACTTTAAGTTTTATCTACCTATTTATTACATACACATATTTTGTGATAAATATTAAAAATGGAATGAATAAATAAAATGTATTTTAGTTTATTTTTATTATAGATAATTATGTTTTAAGTACTATAATAAGTAACTTTGATACAAAAATATAATTATATAAGTATACGTACAATATTTTTATACCTTCACAAAAAAAGGTTTATTCTGCCTGTCTGCTTAATCTTTGGCCAAACAAAATAATAAAAACAGTTTACATTCCTTTACCTGCAGAAATTAATAATTTGAATATTAAAATATGATGATATAAAAAAATTATAACAAAATGATTGATTATTCGATTTAAATTCAGATATTTTAAATATTGTCACGTTTATAAAAAGTACTAAGAAAACTCCCAATTGTACCATTTAACATACTTTTAACGTTTCATTTCACGTTTTATTTAAACAGTGTTTTAGTTAGTTTGAGTTTCATTACAATCATGACGCCTTCACAACTTTCTTTATTAATAATTATTTTAACATTTCTTACACTTTGTCGATCATATCAGACCAAAAGAAATCCTAACATTTTATTTATTGTTGTCGACGACTTGCGCCATCTTTCGGATAAAACTATCAACTTACCGAATTTGAAAAATCTGGCTGGTGAGGGGGCAAATTTCAAAAACGCATTTGCGCAGGTAAATACTTTAGAAACATCAGTAACTGATGTGTCTGCTATTGAAAGTAGTTTGAAGGTGTTTTTTGATAGCGGATATTAACTAATTGTTTTTCAGCAAGCTCTCTGCGCTCCAAGTAGAAACTCCATGTTGACTGGCCGTCGACCAGACTCATTACGTTTGTATGATTTCTACAGTTACTGGCGTGACACAGTGGGCAACTTTACCACTCTCCCCCAATTCTTCAAAGAGAACGGCTATGACACTTATTCTATAGGAAAAGTGTTTCATCCAGGAATAAGCTCAAACTTCACCGATGATTATCCCTATAGCTGGTCTGAATATCCTTACCGTCCTCCTACCGAGAAATATAAAGATGCTGCCGTTTGCAAAGATAAAGAAACTGGAAAACTTCACAAAAACCTCATATGTCCAGTAAATGTTGATGATCAACCAGAAAGAACTTTACCAGACTTGCAGTCTTTGGAACATGCTGTCAATATTCTTACAACCAGAAACAGTACACGACCATTTCTACTAGCGGTTGGGTTTTATAAACCGCACATACCAATTAAGTTTCCAGAAGAGTATCTTGGTGAGAATAGATTTAATTTTGAACTTATAACTGTTGGTGTAAGGTTTACTATATTAAAGTAGGTAGTATTTTTTAAAATCTTTATTACAAAACTGTAAGGTTGAAAATCTGTTTAAAAATTAATAGGTAGCTGCAGCTGTTACTGGTTCCTGTATTTTATTTTTCTTTATTATTCTTACAAGATAAATAAGTCTATTTTTAATGGTAACAAATAATAATTATTTTTATTATTTTAATTATTTTTATTATTTTTATTTAGTATGTCTCACGATAGTTATTATAATAACTATCGTGAGACATACTAAATTATGACGACGTCGCCGCGACCGCGCACGCTGCTCATGAGGAAGAACCCCTCTGTGGTTCGAAACTAGTAGAGATATTCTCAGTATATTTACGTGAGTAACCCGCGTTTTTACTTAATTTAATTATTATTTTACAGAAAGAATACCAATAAACAGAGTAAGACCTCCAAGACACCCTTGCATGTCGGCTGACATACCCTTAGTATCATGGCACCCCTGGACTGACGTCAGGCGTAGAGATGACATCGCCCGCCTAAATATATCATTTCCTTTGGGAATAATGCCACTTGATTGGTCAATAAAAATCAGGCAAAGTTACTACGCAGCTGCGGCATATATTGACGATTTAATTGGAGAATTGATCAGTTATATTGATAGACGAAATACTATCGTGGTTCTAACAAGTGATCATGGTCAGTATCTTATCTATCATTAATATTTGTGCAGATACTAGCATGTTGAACTATACTAATGGCAATAGATTTTGAACTTTATTCTTTTGTAATACGGCTGATAAGTCAGTAAAGAAATGTTCTGTTGCTTGTCAATAGATTTTAAACTCAAATGATTTGTATTAAAGTTAAAAATGTACACCGAAGAAAATATGTTTAACTTGAGGACGCTGGTGTTAATATACATATTTTATATTTTACCACATAAATAATCTATTTGATATTGGTTACAGGGTGGTCCTTAGGCGAGAATGGTCTATGGGCAAAATACAGCAACTTCGACGTAGCCTTGAAAGTACCATTAATATTTTCTGCTCCAGAAATATCTTCTAGGATCATACACACACCGGTCGAGTTGATTGACCTTTTCCCTACTTTAGTCGATATGAGCGATTTGCCGCATAACATACCACAATGTAGTGTTAAAGATAAATCGACTTTATGTTTTGAAGGAAAGAGTTTAAAACCCTTTATGATGCAAGATTATACAGATTTCGGCAACAACTTTGCCCTTAGCCAATATCCAAGACCAAGTGTATACCCTCAGAAGAACACAGACAAACCTCGCTTAAAGGACATCCGAATAATGGGCTACAGTATAAGAACAAAACGATATAGATACACAGAATGGGTTTTATTTAATAACACATTATTTACAATCGACTGGAACAAATTATACGGCTTAGAACTATACGATCACTTTGTAGATCCTGATGAATCTAACAATTTATATTTGGTACATAAATATAAGAATATTAAACAATATATCTCTACGTTCTTAAGATCACACGTTAATTAAAATAGTAACTTAACAATAATTAAATATATACATAAAGCAAAAAAATTATTGCACTAATTTAATGTTAATTTGAACGCACACAGCATTTATGAATGGAAATTTTGTGACAACATAAACAAATAAACCCGAGGTGTGGAGTACTCTGCAAGCTAAAAAGGGATCCAGAAGTACCAGATGGTGATTTGTTTTTTTTTAACCGTCATAGGACAAAGGAATGAGTTTAAGCATGTATGTAAAACACATTGAAATCTTAAGGGTTGTTTTCCCGCGAAATTCATCATGAATAGAGATGTAGTACATAGCAAAATAAACCTTATACATTTATTTATTTATTTATTTTATTTATTTATATTTAAACATTACACATTACATAAGTTATTGAGCACCATTTAGCTAGCAGAGAGCTCTCTTAGTACCGGAAAACAACCCTTACGCACCGACGTGACGAGATGTGAAACAAAACTAGGCCCGTGCTAATAGTAATAATGAAAAACATAAAATTGTGTATATTTTTGCTCCCATATGATAACAGACAAATGGGTGACTTTTTTAAGCACAAATAAAAATAATTATAGGCACAACACAGTTTACTTACTAATGGAAAACATATAGGTGTTAATAAAGTCTAGTTTACTTTGACTCAACCATCAAAAGCTATACATGTTTACCTACTGTGTCATTCGGAACAAAAATCACTGTGTCTTGCGATTTTAGATTTTCAGACAGCTCGTCTGCATGCACCTTAAAAATAATAATTAGTATGTTTTATTATATTTAAAATTATTATAGTTGTTCTGGGTAAACTTGGACTTACAGTGAAACATTGAACAATATAAAAAAACTTTTTAATTGATTTTATTCTTTATTCGAACTAGCCATAAATGCTATATTAAAATGCCCCTGCAGTAATTCACCGAGGGAAGTGGAAACTATCGTTTTTTTTTTTCATCTTATAATATCTTCTGATTTATTTCGTTGCAGGAACCAAGACAGTTATTCATGTTCCTGTGCCGCGCCGGACCGTATTCCGGTGTTCCAGTGCTCACAGGAGTTGCAGCAGTTTTGGGAGGTTGTGGCGGGCTTGTTCCACTATATGAATATTATAAAATGCCTGCGGATCATGAGCATACCTAGTTTGCATCATAGAATAAAGTTACACCATTTTAGTCCAAAATTGTACCCAGAGTTGTTGATTATAATTGTATTTTATTTAAACACTAGCGACCCGCCCCGGCTTCGCACGGGTGCAATATGCATTTATTATACATACAAACCTTCCTTAAGAATCACTCTATCTATTAAAAAAAACCGCGTCAAAATCCGTTGCGTAGTTTTAAAGATCTAAGCATACATACGGACATACAGCGAAAGCGACTTTGTTTTATACTATGTATTGATAAGGCAAAAAGATTTAATCATTTAGAATACACCATTTAAATACTCAAGATCGCTCATTGGTCTTCACATAGCTGCTTGATATTCTTAGTTGCGATTACTAAAGATTGTATTTAATTAAATAAAAACTCTTTACTGTAAGTTGTATAAAATAAAACTAGTATTTTTTTATAAATAGACTTATGAAAGCAAAAATCCAGTCAGATTAAGATTATGTTGTTGGGATCAGCACTCATAAAAATAAGAGAAGAAAGTCGCAATAGGTATAATTGAAAAAAATCACCGTTTTTAGAGAGCCACTGAAATATTTCGTCTTTTCGTATCGTTTTAATATTTTGTTATTAATATTTTCTGCAAGATCTAAAAATCGCATATTGACATAGATTAAATATTTTTTTAAAACTTTATAAATGTATCTATGATCTACAGCATATAAAAATTACATATTGTATAAAAATCTATAGGGAGTAATATTGACGTTCCCCGCGAATATACACCGTGATATTTTAATGGTTGTTTTCCCGCAGCAGAACGATTTCCCTTTAGTAGTACTATCGAATAATGCAAGTTACTTTTTGAAAAAAATGTTTTTTTTCTCCTCATCTACTCAAAAAAATAATCATGAACTCGAAAGCATGAGAAACGATAGTTTCTCTTCTAAAATGTGACGTCATATCAATGTTCATAGTAAAATAATCTCTCGTACTTAGTAATACAGCATAAACTACAATGCACGCGCGCGCGAGCGGATCGCCTCACGAAGTCACGACAAACAACAAAGGCAACAACCGCGCTCTCTGTCACTCGCATCGGTTCGCACCGGCTCGCATGGCTTTCATTCGCACCAGTCGCACCGCGAACGCCGTCCGCGCAGCCCCGTAAGCGCAGTACAATATTGTTGCCGCCAAAATGGATCGCCATTACGTTTTTTCTAACGTGGAGTACGTAGCTATGGTGCAATTGTACGCGAGGGCAAATTATGATTCGCATGCCGCCCGTCGACTTTACGAGGAGCCGCGGCACATGGAGTCACTTCGTCTTCGCGGCTTTATTTTGTGACAGGACACTTAACTGGTGAAACGTACCTACAAATGCTACGTAGTGTTATCCCGGACTTACTAGATGACATTCCGTTAGCAGTGCCCATGGATGGCCTGTATTACCAGCACGATGGTTGCCCTGCGCATTATCAGCGCGCCGTGCGAGAGCACCTCGACTCGGTGTTTCGCCAGCGCTGGATTGGTCGTGGCGGGCCAGTGCCATGGCCACCACGAAGTCCGGATCTTACTCCAATAGACTTTTATTTGTGGTCTAATCTCAAACGCCTTGTGTATCGGCTAGAATACGAAACTCGCGACGCGTTAAAAAGTGCGATAGTGGACGCTTTTGATGTGATTAGACGTGACAGAGACACATTATTAAAATTGAAAGCCAATCAGTTAAAACGTGCACGATTGTGTGTGGATGTGGAACGCGGTTGCTTACACTTTGAACAATTGCTCCGTTACCGGGAAGTGTAAGTACTTGTACATTTGTAAATAAAATAATAAGTTGTGTTATTAAAATCATTGTAAATACGTTGATTCCCATTTTTTAAATACGCCTTAAATACTTTGCCGGATTCAGTAATAAACAAGATAATATCTCTTGATTAAATTTTGTTTATGTTTAGTAAGTGTAGTTAAAAAGTATTGACGACGGTCCCAAGCCCGTTAAAGTATGAAGGGAAAATGGAAATCACTTGTTAGTAAATACTGAGTTATCAGCCTTTTGATAAGCGCGAGCGACAATGACAGCGGCCGGTGGCCGGTCGCGGCGGTACTATTGGTTCGCGGTTTCTTTCAAGTTTCGTGTATCACTATCGTAAAACTGCTATTTTTTTATTTAAATTAAAAACAACTTTCTCAATCTATTGTACTACTAAGATAGAATCATTTTACTGTGGGAAAACAACCATTAAAATATCACGGTGTATTAGTTCGGACTACTTTACCAATTTTGAGTACGAATTGTTATTTTAAAACTACATTAAAATGTAATGAAAAAGTAAAGTTATAAAATGCCTATTGTAATATCGATGTAATAAATTATGGGTTATTATTGTAAATACTGATTTTTCTTTGAAATGTTATTTAATACTTGCGAAATCTTCTTGGAATGTCAACAGTTTATTTGTTAAGTTTTGTAAACACCTTAGGTAGGTAGGTACTTATTTAGGGAAGACAAACAAATATCTCATAACTTATATAGGCAATTGCGTAACATCATGACGTCACGCGTTTTATCACCGAAGGGGTGCACAGTACGGCACTAAATGTCAGTGTACAATGTAACATCCTCTTTTAACTATTTATATTATGAGTCCCATGTAATAGGGAGTGAGCCTATTGCCATATGCCGTGCACATTTCCAGACTCCGTGCTACTACTGAGATATTTTTCTGGAAACCCAGAAATACTTTACCCGACCTGGGAACCGAACCTGAGACCCCTTGACCGGTAGTCGCACTTGCGACCACTCAGCCAACGAGGCAGTCTTTCAGTTGTTATTAAGTATATTGTATATTAAGTAGGTATATTGTATATTAAGTATATTGTATAGATTCATACAAGTAGAATATTTAATAGAAAAGTATAACCAGCTTTAACAAAAACAACCGCAAGTCAGCTTACGACAGAGCAACAATGACTAATTCTACGATATGATTACTGGGTTCTGTTGGCAATTAATTTCAACATATAATAAATACGAACCCTAACTTTAAAGATATAAGACTCATATTCGAAGAGTTAGGAATAAGATAATGTAAATCCCGATTATATAAGTTACAAAGTATCAACTAAAATCTATACAGTCTTTAAATATGCGAAATACAACTTTAAAAACATCATACTAAGCTCTGTTTTTCTTCGGGTACCGGTTTGCGGGAATTTTCTTCCATTTCTTGTTGCTTGAATCTGGCGTAGAGGGCGCTGCTGAATAGGACTATGATGTTGGAAGTCCACCAGAGAACGTTCTTGGTTTCATTGTACCATTGGGTCGCTAGGACTGTTTGGGCACAAGCCTTAGCAGTGCCTGATATGTTGTGTGTTAGTGGAGAAGTAACCTGGAATGTTAATAAAGTACTTAGTCTATAAAATCTGTCTTGTATTTCCGAAAATACTGCAAGCTCATACAGGATTTTTTTTTAATTTGTTAATGGTTCACAGACTCAGTCATTAACCGCCCTCTTATAAGAGACTTATATAACTGACCAAAATTTAATTTATATACATATGCAGCTATATTAAACGAATCTCACCTTTATCTGCAACGACGTAAAGTATCCAATAGCAAAACCGCACAATCCACCAATGACCATTTGTATCCAGAAATATCCACTAGTAAAATTGGTGTAACTCAGTAACACAGAGACCTCTCCGTTTATTACAATAAGAGGTAAGAATAAGAAAATGGAGTAGGCGTTATTATAATAGGATAGCAACCAAACTTCTTGGTTTACGCTGGGTAAAACCTTCTTGGTATAAATTGAGTATAGAGAGAGCATTAGAGATCCGATCACTCCATATACTGTACCTATTAAAGAAAATGAACCTGTAACATAAAAATATATTTTTAGTAAAACAATAATAGTATGAATTGCCTACTCTACCTACTGATTGTCTTCCTTACCAATTTCAAGTTCAATATTCAAATTACTTTATTTGTAAATCATAGGTTAGATCTTACATGCTTTATATTGACCAGCTATGTTTTGTTTATTTATATATTGTTTATTTCAGTAACAGCAACCCTTAATAGCTATCTCTAATTGGGTAGTATCCAGGGTATGAAAATTAAAAATTTAATTAGTCCGTCAGTTTGATAATGAAAAAATATTAGACACATATTTTTTTATTTTCTCGTATTAAGTTGCAATACTTAGATAAAATAGCGCTAGGAGTGGGAGGTTGACGTCATAACGTGCTACAAAATGTGGCACGCTGTAACGTCACACGATATGTCGAAAGTATTTAATTTCGTGTCTAATATTTAGATTAATGTACCAGGCGCATATTAAAATAAAATTTAAGAAACTAGCCTATTCTGTGCTCTAATGTGATTGGCCAGACCGAATTTAGTTTTTAAAATCCGATCACAACTAGAGCAGTAAAGCTGGCCGGTAGAGTTGTACGTGTAGGTATAGGAGGGATTAAGTCTATCTTTACACATACATGACCATGCAAAATTGCTACCATATATTGAACAAATGTAGAATAGAACTTTTTTACAACAAGACTCTCAACTCCCCTAAATTAAATGTATCTCACTTGGTTTAGGCCCGTGGTTTTATTAAACGACTAATTCTTAGGATGCAGAGAAACCCTGCATTTGGACCACAATAATAATATTTTTATGACTAAATTTTCGTTCATATTATGTATTTGATATCAAAATATTTAATAGTTCCTGTTTCATAAATATAGCAGGAAGTGAATTGAACTTATCACTACACATTGTCAAGGATTGTGTGTCTAAATTAGGTGATAACATGTGTGCATGCATATAGCTTAATTTATTTTAAAAAAATTGTTAGTATTCGTATTTGAAATATATATCATAAACTGTGGTATGCCAGTCGAATATAGCGTAAACCACATGCCTCCTTTCACCTTAGAAAGAGTGATGATAATCGAGTCTTTGGATTCTAAGAGCATAAACTGTTACCTATAGACATAAATAAGTTGGTTAAACCTAAAGTGCAAGGCATCTATAGTCCCGCACGTCTCGCAGCACCTTCTGTAATCTCGCCGCACTTGCCTAATTTTTCTTAGGGATAATACAGTCTGCCACATGATATTGTAACAAAAGCAAGTTGACTGGAGCCTAAGATAAAGGAACAAATCATAGATCTCATTTTTTACGCTTACCTAACAAATTCTCCTGGTCTACTCCAAGATAAAATCCAAATATGATAAGACCACAACAGAATATGCATCTGTAGGAAGTCCTTTGACCAAGTAGTACCCAACTGAATACTACATTAAATACAGTAGTTAGTGATCTTCCAATGTAGTAGAATGGAACTCCCACATACTTCAGACACAAGTTATTTGTAGCTATCATCAATGTGAACATTAATGAGAGTGGGATAACCTGAAAATAACAAGAATAATCATATAATCATATTTTTGTATTGGTAAAGATTTAAAGAAACATGAAGCTAATCAACTTTAGCTTGCTTGATTTACTTGATTTGCTGTTCGACTAGTTTCAAGGCTCGACAGGGGCCCATAACCAAGAGCAGCATGCGTGACGTTCGCTGCGAGTTACTAAACGCTTCATGAGACTAATTGAGCAGGACACTTAATAGCTTCGTAACTTTTTTTAATGTAAATAGGATGGCGTAAGGCATTATCCGACTAAGTCCTAACGGGGTTTAGTACTAACATAGCAGTAATAATAAAGTCATGACTTTATGTAGGTAAACAGACCAAAAATAAGTGGTTAAAGTAAAAGTAGTTGTTTATCTTTGACTATCTGATTAGCACAACAGTGTCAATATGTGTTACTAGATTAGCCGTTAGACATTTAGTCGCAAATGTGTAATGTATAGATAACACAGGGAAAACATTGCAATGTATTTCAACTGAAATAATTGATCATAGGGTACAACAAGTTACCTTAAAGAAGGTTCATTTAATGTCCAACACTATTGTATTGCTTATAAAGGAGAATGGCAGGTTTGTATGGAAGTTTTGTACCGCTATAAAGGAGAACGGCAGATTTTGTACCGCTTCGCTAAAAAAAGATTTGTCATTAAAAAATTGGGTCATTATAGAACCTCCTAAGTACGTTATGTTAGCATATTTAATAGATTTTTAAAACTTGGGAAACCTTAGAAAAACTGATATTCAATAATGATAAAAAGCAATCCACCATACGTAAAACGAACCGCGATTGACGTTTACAAAGTTGCCATGCGTAAAGATGAAATCAGAGCATATTGAATTTCGCTATTTCATAAACTCATTTATTTTAATATCTATCAATGAAATATTTTCCTTTCCATTTCAAACATTTTTATAAGTAAATATAAAAATCTACATCCAATCTAAATCTACGTTTACATGGATTATTAATGATAATTAACATTTTAACAAACTTGAATATTATGGCAATGTTGAACTGGCATTTGTCTTGATGACATTGACAATTAATTTGTCAATACTGGCGCATTGCTGTTTGTTTCAAATGCGATGTTATGATGTGTTTGTTGAATTTGAAGTTATTTTATTCATCTGGTGATACGTTGAGTTTGGCAACCGTTCCTCCGTAGCCCAAATTGGTATTATTGGCATCATTGTTGTGACAATTGCGAAAAGACACTTATTTACATTATTTTGTGCAGTGTGTTGTTATTTGTCGCGATGATGAATTTACAGTGTATTAATTGCATTCAGAGTTTGTCGCACATGAGACGGCATGCTCTAGAAAATGAGAGTGAAGATTAGACGTGGTCAACAATATCCCAATGTGGACTTATCCTAGAGATGTAAGTACCTAGTTTACCCATAACATATCGAAAGTCACCATGTTGCCTGAATAAAAGAAGGCGCATAGTGTTATCTACCCATAATGTATCATTTTATCTTTTTATTCTAGATCTCTCCTACCGACCATATTTGCAATGCTTGCTGGCAATTAGCAATGTATCGGGATGTTGCTGAAAGTATGTCCAGCAAACAAATTGGTCACTGGCATGTTTGTGTCGTATATGGGTGATTCATTGCAATGATAAGGTGACGCAGGGTTTTAATTGAAGGCGCCAACAAACAGGAGTAAAGACTGGCTCATATAGTATTTGATTGGATTCAGCCACAAGAGGTAATAAAGCATAATTTAACCATACTATTATCTATATACAGTGTAATCTAAAGTCAATATCATATTCTAATAATATTACTTATTTTAGCTTACTTCCCATGATGAAGATCATGTTCCATACTGACTGAGAGACCGTACAAGAGTCGAAACTATAAAACCACAACCTGACATACCACCTCACAGTGTTCACTATCAGGAAGTAATGTATTATGTAAACATGGACTAAGCCTCACTTTAACATTGCCATTTGTAGAACAGATGAGGCCGGATGATGTTGTTCGGCTCTCAAAGCTTCAACAGGTATGCATTCTCAATATAATGTACCTACATAATTATGTATCTATGTGGAGTATATAAGCGGTTTCTAATAGGTTTATACTCATGTTATAATTATAATTTATTAATTAGCATGCTGTTTGAGCTCCTATGATCTGTGTTATACGAATAACTATAATAAATGTTATAAAATGAAGTAATGTAATCAAATATTTATTTTTATCTTTTCCATTTTAAGATAGGGAATCAGACTTATTATTATAACATATAAAACTAAAGGAAAAAAATGTACTTTTGTTTACTTTATTTACAGTTATCTTACTTGTTTACAGATATCAGCAATTGATGTCTGCTGTACCTATGACACGGCCTGTTCTCTTTTTAGATGAAGTACTCCTAGAAACAACCTGAATACAATGAAATAAAAGTATTTCAAAATAATACATTTGTTTTATTTTAACCTAGTAAGTAACTATATATTCCATCTTGATAAAAGTGATTTTAAGAATCAATCTATAAAATAAATGCCATATTTAATTTAGATAGCTTTAGTTTTATACCAAAAATGTTCATTTTCATTTTACATTTTCTTTAGTTGTAATGTGGTGGCCCAGAGGTTTAAGAAGCCCGCTTCTCATGCATGAGAGTGCGGGTTCGAAACCTACCAACGGCAAAGTACCTTTTGTCCAATGTGTCTTTTTTCCGAGTTATTGGTATATTCAATAATCTAAGAAAGTACAAAGACACCGCTGACGAATGGTGAAGGAAAACATTGTGAGAAAACATGGACTTATAATTTCTTATTATAAGTTTGAATTACCAACCCACATTGAGCTAGTATGGTGATTAATGCTCAAACCTCCATGCGAGAAGAGGCTTCGGTCAGCAGTGGCCACTTATAGACTTAATGATGAAAATGTTGATGATTCTACTAATTTGACTTACTTATTAGAAATTAATCCTTACATGCGTGCTAAGCAACCAGTTTTCAGAAGAAATACTTTCTCAAAGAGCTAAGCTAAGTTTAAATCGAATGAACTTGAGACCCTTGAGACTATCTACCTGCAAGATTCAAGGTGAAGTGAGACATTAGTTTTATCATATCCGCCACAAGACCCTCCACTGCTAAATGTAGGCCTTCTACCCAATGACAGTCGCTTACATTATGAATTTGCATTTTCGTAGGCACCTAAGAAATGAAAAAGATTGTGAGGCATACTCTTTAAAACTCTATAGGTGCATCATGCTTGCTGAATTAACAGGATCATTCCTAATTGCCTTTTGCGCTGCGACGCACCATAGGTTTTTTTTGGGTTCTAAATTCTTGTTGTGTGTCGTAGCAAATAAATGGTTTTTCTTTCTTTCTTTCTTTCTTTCTAATAATACAAAGTGTAATAGTCACTTGAGTAGCGAGCAGTATTTTTAGATTTTTGTTTTTTGTAAATAAACAACCACATGAGAGCACATTGACATTTTTCAGTTAACTGTCATCTGTCATTTGTAATAGATATTTTGCTTACGGTGGCTCTACACTTGACGTTGCGTATTTGTTGTGTTCGGCCAAAAAAGAACATGTTTGGAGGATTTATTCTTCTTTGTTTGCTATATATTTGCACGCCATTACATATAGAGATACTATTTGGACGCCATTTGTACGTAGTCTACAAATATTTGGACAAATGAAGCGACTACGCAATGTCAAGTGTGGTACCACCTTAACATACCTTTTGCACATTTTTAAAGTGAAATAACTTTTGAACCCCAAGTTCTAAAAATATGTAATTTTTTTTCTAAACTTCATAATAAAAATATCTATCGTTCAGACTATTCACTTGGTTAAAACAATGACTAATACAAAATTTTATAGCGGTACAAAACTTCCATACAAACCTGCCATTCTCCTTTTGTATTAGTCATTGTTTTAACCAAGTGAATAGTCTGAACGATAGATATTTTTATTATGAAGTTTAGAAAAAAATTACATATTTTTAGAACTTGGGGTTCAAAAGTTATTTCACTTTGAAAATGTGCAAAAGGTATGTTAAGGTGGTACCACACTTGACATTGCGTAGTCGCTTCATTTGTCCAAATATTTGTAGACTACGTACAAATGGCGTCCAAATAGTATCTCTATATGTAATGGCGTGCAAATATATAGCAAACAAAGAAGAATAAATCCTCCAAACATGTTCTTTTTTGGCCGAACACAACAAATACGCAACGTCAAGTGTAGAGCCACCGTAAGCAAAATATCTATTACAAATGACAGATGACAGTTAACTGAAAAATGTCAATGTGCTCTCATGTGGTTGTTTATTTACAAAAAACAAAAATCTAAAAATACTGCTCGCTACTCAAGTGACTATTACACTTTGTATTATTAGAAAGAAAGAAAGAAAGAAAAACCATTTATTTTGCTACGACACACAACAAGAATTTAGAAACCCAAAAAATAACCTATGGTGCGTCGCAGCGCAAAAGGCAATTAGGAATGATCCTGTTAATTCAGCAAGCATGATGCACCTATAGAGTTTTAAAGAGTATGCCTCACAATCTTTTTCATTTCTTAGGTGCCTACGAAAATGCAAATTCATAATGTAAGCGACTGTCATTGGGTAGAAGGCCTACATTTAGCAGTGGAAGTCTTGTGGCGGATATGATAAAACTAATGTCTCACTTCACCTTGAATCTTGCAGGTAGATAGTCTCAAGGGTCTCAAGTTAATTCGATTTAAACTTAGCTTAGCTCTTTGAGAAAGTATTTCTTCTGAAAACTGGTTGCTTAGCACGCATGTAAGGATTAATTTCTAATAAGTAAGTCAAATTAGTAGAATCATCAACATTTTCATCATTAAGTCTATAAGTGGCCACTGCTGACCGAAGCCTCTTCTCGCATGGAGGTTTGAGCATTAATCACCATACTAGCTCAATGTGGGTTGGTAATTCAAACTTATAATAAGAAATTATAAGCCCATGTTTCCTCACAATGTTTTCCTTCACCATTCGTCAGCGGTGTCTTTGTACTTTCTTAGATTATTGAATATACCAATAACTCGGAAAAAAGACACATTGGACAAAAGGTACTTTGCCGTTGGTAGGTTTCGAACCCGCACTCTCATGCATGAGAAGCGGGCTTCTTAAACCTCTGGGCCACCACATTACAACTAAAGAAAATGTAAAATGAAAATGAACATTTTTGGTATAAAACTAAAGCTATCTAAATTAAATATGGCATTTATTTTATAGATTGATTCTTAAAATCACTTTTATCAAGATGGAATATATAGTTACTTACTAGGTTAAAATAAAACAAATGTATTATTTTGAAATACTTTTATTTCATTGTATTCAGGTTGTTTCTAGGAGTACTTCATCTAAAAAGAGAACAGGCCGTGTCATAGGTACAGCAGACATCAATTGCTGATATCTGTAAACAAGTAAGATAACTGTAAATAAAGTAAACAAAAGTACATTTTTTTCCTTTAGTTTTATATGTTATAATAATAAGTCTGATTCCCTATCTTAAAATGGAAAAGATAAAAATAAATATTTGATTACATTACTTCATTTTATAACATTTATTATAGTTATTCGTATAACACAGATCATAGGAGCTCAAACAGCATGCTAATTAATAAATTATAATTATAACATGAGTATAAACCTATTAGAAACCGCTTATATACTCCACATAGATACATAATTATGTAGGTACATTATATTGAGAATGCATACCTGTTGAAGCTTTGAGAGCCGAACAACATCATCCGGCCTCATCTGTTCTACAAATGGCAATGTTAAAGTGAGGCTTAGTCCATGTTTACATAATACATTACTTCCTGATAGTGAACACTGTGAGGTGGTATGTCAGGTTGTGGTTTTATAGTTTCGACTCTTGTACGGTCTCTCAGTCAGTATGGAACATGATCTTCATCATGGGAAGTAAGCTAAAATAAGTAATATTATTAGAATATGATATTGACTTTAGATTACACTGTATATAGATAATAGTATGGTTAAATTATGCTTTATTACCTCTTGTGGCTGAATCCAATCAAATACTATATGAGCCAGTCTTTACTCCTGTTTGTTGGCGCCTTCAATTAAAACCCTGCGTCACCTTATCATTGCAATGAATCACCCATATACGACACAAACATGCCAGTGACCAATTTGTTTGCTGGACATACTTTCAGCAACATCCCGATACATTGCTAATTGCCAGCAAGCATTGCAAATATGGTCGGTAGGAGAGATCTAGAATAAAAAGAATAAAATGATACATTATGGGTAGATAACACTATGCGCCTTCTTTTATTCAGGAACATGGTGACTTTCGATATGTTATGGGTAAACTAGGTACTTACATCTCTAGGATAAGTCCACATTGGGATATTGTTGACCACGTCTAATCTTCACTCTCATTTTCTAGAGCATGCCGTCTCATGTGCGACAAACTCTGAATGCAATTAATACACTGTAAATTCATCATCGCGACAAATAACAACACACTGCACAAAATAATGTAAATAAGTGTCTTTTCGCAATTGTCACAACAATGATGCCAATAATACCAATTTGGGCTACGGAGGAACGGTTGCCAAACTCAACGTATCACCAGATGAATAAAATAACTTCAAATTCAACAAACACATCATAACATCGCATTTGAAACAAACAGCAATGCGCCAGTATTGACAAATTAATTGTCAATGTCATCAAGACAAATGCCAGTTCAACATTGCCATAATATTCAAGTTTGTTAAAATGTTAATTATCATTAATAATCCATGTAAACGTAGATTTAGATTGGATGTAGATTTTTATATTTACTTATAAAAATGTTTGAAATGGAAAGGAAAATATTTCATTGATAGATATTAAAATAAATGAGTTTATGAAATAGCGAAATTCAATATGCTCTGATTTCATCTTTACGCATGGCAACTTTGTAAACGTCAATCGCGGTTCGTTTTACGTATGGTGGATTGCTTTTTATCATTATTGAATATCAGTTTTTCTAAGGTTTCCCAAGTTTTAAAAATCTATTAAATATGCTAACATAACGTACTTAGGAGGTTCTATAATGACCCAATTTTTTAATGACAAATCTTTTTTTAGCGAAGCGGTACAAAATCTGCCGTTCTCCTTTAAAATTAAAAAATAATTTGAGCGGCTCCCTATCGGACATTAGCCCTATTGGGCTGTGTCTGTGGTGGTCTGATGGTGCTTGCCAATGGTGCGCCGTATTCACAGGAAATATGTAGGTACCGCTGCCTACCCCATATTCTTTGTAGAATAATAGGCGTTTACACTTTTAGGATTGGAAGAATCCTCATGTCTACCTACCAAAAATGTATTGTACATGATTCATTATGATAAGAATTAATTCACAATAATTATGTATTGTATTATCATAAGTTAACATTGAGTATTATCTACATATCTACCGTTAAGTATTTATTGGAAATCATAGTATTTATATTCATATTGTAAGTAGAATTGTTTCAAGCATTGATATTAATCTTGATACTATCTAATAGGAACATAAATGTGAAATTAAAATAACTACCAACCGATAAGATTACACTAATTAGAATCTATTGAAAATCCTGTTGTGGTATAGAAATATCCAGTATTAATTTAAGCATTGTGTGAATGTATTTTATTTACTGAGAAAGTGAGAAGAGGTTTTTTCTCAGCAGTGGGCCAGTTACATGCTAACGATGACGATGATGGTTGTAAATCAGTTACAAATCAACAGACATTGAAGTTATTGGCATTTTACAATCAACATAGAAACTTTATTAACCCCTTATCATTGTAGACATGTCTCTGTATAGACATAATACGTTTTTGCTTTGTTTCATATAGGGGAAAAGTGGGAAAGATTGACAGTTGTTATTCTCAATTACTCAATCATCGAGTATCGTTAGAGGTGGTTGTTATTAAAAATAAGTATGAGTGCAAGATGAATTTCAGCATGCATGGGATTTGTTATATTATTATAATAATACTTACTCGTTTCATAACATCCACATTCCATGGTGTTCCTTTAGGAAATGTGAAAACGCCAGGGATGCCACCAGTTCGACTTAATGAATAGCAAATACTAAAGGACACAATGCATTGGAACCATGTTATAAATAATGGAGCTTCTAATGCAACCTCCTGGCTACTTAGTAATGTCTTATTTACAAATACTGTTGCTATTGACACAACCCTAAAAAAAAGAAAAATTATAGCATCTATGTTGAAACTTGAAGTATACTTATGGCTATGTGTTTTGTAATAGTTTTTTAAGTGTAGTTCTATCGTATGAAAATGCAAATTTTATAACCGGCATTATTCTATACACAGTAAACATTTGACACACTTTCAAGTTATTTGATGAATGTATGGTGGCATGTCCTTCTGTATTATTTAGCCGGCACATATTTCAATGTACTTGCATACGTAAGCAATGCTCTTTTTAATAAAAAATATGCTTGTATGGTAAAATCGTATAGGAAAAGGCTATAAAAATATTTTTAATACACACCAGTAACAAGAAACAACAATAAATATTGTAATGTATCTTGAACACAAATCTGAACGTGGATTCTTCATTTTCACTGCTTTAAATTAACTGCGTTATTAAATTAATTGTTTATTATCCTCTCAAAACACCATAATACAATGTGAACAGTTTTTAAAGTATGTACTATTTTAATAATTATTTAATTTGTTTTATCAGCGAGCTACAACACGAAGACGAGCGCCGCTGTTTTTTTTTAATTTAACCAAACATTCCATTCTTCTGTCACATTATTTTCAAAATAAATACATGCATAAAACATGCATGATTCATTCATCTCTGTCATTATTAAAGCAAAACATGAAATAATTATCAATGCTTGTAATTCTGTGTTGAGTCAGTATTGAAATGGACCGCCAGTCAAATCAAATGATATGAAAGCATTATCAGCTTTATGCAACACGTACTAAAGTCTATTTTTGCACAAGTATTTCGTAAGAATCATGATGTTTTTTTATTATTTTGACATTTAAAAGTTGGGGTTGATAGCATTAAATATTATCACACTGACGTATATTCTTCTTTGAGAATAACTTAAAACCAGTTTTGGTTACGAATTCAATTACTTTTCAAAAGATTTCAAAAGTGATTCACAGTACGGTCTTTTATACAAGTAGTCTTGGAAACAGTCAAAACACATTTAAAGTCTGATTTAAATGACATTAATTTAGTTCTGTCAATGCTTTTGTATTATAACAACACTTAAGTTATCGCTCGCCCAAAGAGTATAATAAGTATAGGGGTAAAGAGTTGCCACTCGTCAAAATTTATGCCAATCAATTTGAAACGCCATCTGAAAATTGAATCCAAGTATTTTTTTTTTTTACTAATGTCTACAGATAATCCTAAGTATAGCTAATGCCAATACTACCAACAATGCACCTTGCAGGTTGGTACATTGAAGGTAGTATTGGAATTAGCTATGTCTGGTAGCTGCAAAATCAAAGAAGTTATTAATTACAATATTACATTTATTTTACAGTAAATACAAATTAACATTTAAAAATTATCAGCTAGTAGGGAAATATCAGACGACAGATTTGTTCAAAGTATAATTCAAATTTTAGTTCTTTTTAATTTTATGTTTACAAATTTCAGATATAAATATGTCGTTCAAAATTTATTTGAATTAGTTATTTTTTTAATTATTGATCCCACAAAGAACTAAAATTAAAAATATTTACTGTTCACTGTTGTTTACACAGTACTTAACAGTAGTTAACAATCTAATGATATAAATTAACCGTAATACCTACACAAATGTAGTACATTTTACCATCGATTTGAATCGCTTACAGTATTTACAAAAACAAAAATTTTATACAATTTACATAACATAACATACATAACATCACGCCTTTTTATCCCCGAAGGGGTAGGCAGAGGTGCACATTTCGGCACTCAATGCCACTGTACAATGTAACACCCACTTTTCACTATTTATGTTATAAGTCCCATGTAATAGGGGGTGAGCCTATTGCCATATACCGGGCACATTTCCAGACTACTCTACTACTACTGAGATTTTTTTAAAACCCAGTAATACTTTGCCCGACCCGGGTATCGAACCCGAGACCCCTTGCCCGGCAGTCGCACTTATTATTATAATGTCGAAAAATATAGTGCTTAAAAATAAGTCTCAGTCTGCCTCTCAGTCTCAGTTTTTTAGTACTTTTTTTTGCTAGTTGCTAATAATGCCTGACTTAGTCGTTTCCTATATCTAGTTATATTACAGTCATTTTTACTAAACAACTACAGATTTTTCCTATCCTCAAATATAATATTTTTATAACATTATAATGAAACAAAGTAATATTATTATTATAAATACAAATGAAAATGAAACAGGCAAAATAATGTGGGAAATCCCAATTCAGACAGACTTCACAGTTGCCCACAACAGACCGGACATAATATACACAAACAAAACATCCAACACCACATACCTCTTTGACATAACTGTACCATGTAACTACAACATAGGAGCAAAAGAAATTCAGTAAATACCACTTTTTAAAGACACAACTCAAGGCTAGACGCCTTGAAATATTGAAACGCATGTTAATTCTATAGTAATTGGAGCCACAGGAGTAGGTACTAGCCAAAAGCCTCAGCAGATACACAGACAAACTAGGAGACACAGTTTTCGTCACATACATTCCAGATTCCGATCAATTACAACCATCTCAAGCGCAAACACCACATACCACTCAGTCAACCATCACATGAAGCTCACAATCCACATCTGGCACACAAACTACACCCAGTTAGTAGTCAAGTAGTCAGCAGAAGAGAAAGAAGGAGATTTATAAGTCAAATTTAGAAAGGGCTATGAGCATCGTTTTTCCTGCGGGTTGCGGGAAGCGGTGCCCATTTTCACCAGGTCAAGCCCAAGAAGGAGAGACCTCTACATATATGAATACAAATAAGTAAAACCTAGAATAATGCTGCTAGTCTTTTGGGCACACCCTACTCCACGATAGCGATGAAAAAGAATTTTTTGATGCCCTAAGGTAACATTTTTTTTAAAGTGTGAATATGTACCTATTTCCGTTTATTTATAATTTAATATTACTTTGTTGTGTGTAGGTACTTAAAATGTTGTTCTAATTATGATATATACATTAATACATAGAGCAACACGGGCCACCGGCGGACCATTAATAGAAAGATAAAAATAGTTTTACAAAAATAATACGGCTTTAATATTTGCAGCGATCTATGGGTTTCTTGTTTCTTGAGACAACAATATACGTCTGAATGTTAGAACAATTCCAAATAGTACCTGAAAAAAAAACAAAGATTATTTTATTTATTTATTTATTTGTTTTCTTTTATTTATCTAAGGTAGGTGTACCTTACGTGATATTACTGATGTCACAAGAATAATATAGTATTTACCATCTGTAAAATAGGTTTCAAGCACTGCTGGTATAGATCGGCACTTTATCCGGACATCGTAAGACTCGTAACTGCCGATAAAAATTGCACTATTGATATTCTGCAATGATGATGCTGAAGTAATATCGATGCAATAGCAACTCCAAATATCACTGTAACAAATATACAAAAGAAAAAGTAGAAATTTATAAAAACTACATAGTTTGGTATCTCAATGAATCAAATAAAATGTATAAATAGGTTCAATAGCAAAAATCATAAACTTGTTGTAGGTTTTACCTTCAGCAACATGATTGTATTCTTCGTATTGATGTTCTTTATTATAAATAAGATATATACGCAAATTAAAGCGTTCCTTTGTAAAATCAAGTCCAATGAATAGACAAACAAACACAATGTACTTTTGTGATTTGTGATACACATGTATACAAAAGGTCCTTTATAGAAAACACAACACGCATCGCAGAACTTCCTTTTTTAGAAAAACAATCACAAAATCCCATCACAAATTATTAAATAATTTAAAATATTTTTGGCAAAAATTTTTACAATTTTGACATTTCAAATTTTTGTTTTTGTTTCTTTTCTTTATCAAGCAAAAAGTATACATATTATATGCCAGTATTAAAATAGTACAAACTACATGCATACTATTTTATAAGATAAGGAGATAATATAAAAAGTATTTAACATCAATATCTAATTATTAACAATATTTTTTTAATAGTTATTTATTATCTAAATAATTTGGAAAATTATTATTGTAATGTTTTAATATTTTTTTAGCCCCAGCGTTGCCGTAAAAAATAATAATTTGACAATCCATATAGTACAAGAGCCTATGAACCCCAGACCTTTGTTATTTACACATAACGGACTTAAAAAAAGGAAAAGTTATATACCTATAATGTTTTTTTTATGTTCCTTCAGGGATGACTTCGTCGTTTTTTAACGTATTTTGATGATTCTTTTTTAACCGACTTTAATAAAGGAGTATCAGTTTGATCTAAATGTATATACATATGTTACAGCCAAAGTGATTAATTTGATATTATTCGTAATGACTAGTAATTAATCAATTAATGACTAGCTATTATGAATAATATCTTCGAAAACTTGGATCAAATGGAAATGAACAGGGCTGACGTCTGCACAAAATTTTGAATTTATCGTCATGGGTGTCGTTTTCATGGTTTTCGAGGGTGATAAAGCCGATGGTCCTGTCAAATTGTAAATCCAAGATGGCGTGCGCACAACATTTTTCAATTTATCGTCATGGGTGTCATTTTCATGGTTTTCGAGTGTGATAAAACCGATGGTGTTGTCAAAATGTAAATCCAAGATGGCGTCTGCACAAAATTTTGAATATATCGTCATGGGTGTCCTTTTCATGGTTTTCGAGGGTGATAAAACCGATGGTGTTGTCAAAATGTAAATCCAAGATGGCGTCTGCACAAAATTTTGAATGTATCGTCATGGGTGTCGTTCTCATGGTTTTCGAGGGTGATAAAGCCGATGGTGCTGTCAAAATGCAAATCCAAGATGGCGGCTGTACGAAATTTTCAATTTATCGTCATGGGTGTCGTTTTCATGGTTTTCGAGGGTGATAAAGCCGATGGTGTTGTCAAAATGTAAATCCAAGATGGCGTCTGCACAAAATTTTGAATTTATTGTCATGAGTATCGTCTTCATGGTTTTCGAGGGTGGTAACAAAGATGGTGCTGTCAAAATGCAAATCCAAGATGGCGGCTGCACGGTATTTTCAATTTATCGTTATAGGTGTCGTTTTCATGGTTCTCGAGGGTGGTGAAAATGATGGTGCTGTCAAATTGTAAATCAGAGATGATGACTGAACGAAATAGAGTTAGTGCATTTATCGAGAAAGATAAAGTATGTGTGTGAATGTGTGTGTGTGTGTGTGTGTGTGATAGAGAGACAGAAAGAATGCGTGCGACCTATTTTATAGATTTTCTATGAAAATTGAGTATTTTCATATAATATTAGTTTTTATATAATAAAAACGGTGGCCTAGACCTGAGGTTCACAGGCTCTTAGGTTAATGCTTTTGGATGCAGAAACCTGACGCAGTCATTTCATAGAGTTTAGTTTGTCATCCATCACTTAATATCTTTTTAATCTCTATTATTAGTAAAGAGGCTGTCATCTTTGATCGATTATGCCAGCATAACTGTCATTTGATCTAAGTTTAAGGAATTATTTTGTAAAAATTGCAATATAGTATTAAATAAATGTGTATAATGTTATTTTACTATTTCCAAAAAATATTATTTTAAGCCTAAATTTTAAAATAATGTTGCAACCTTGCTTGGAACTGTGTGGCCACTGAAAATATTAGTTTTGACAACATTTAATTTCAGGTTCGAAAACTAGATGTAGTTGACGGTCCGATTTTTTAAGCTGTCAATGGCTCTAAGTGTGACGGCCCTGCGCTCGCCTCGCCGTTGCCCGAAAGCTGACGTCAGTGATTTTAGTATTTTACATTCGCGAATGGAAATAGTTTTCTAAAATTTATACAATTAAACAGTATCTTCAAGGCGACGCGTTAATAACCGATACGTGAAAAAATGGCATCAGCGCCCGAAACAAAATTGCCGGAAACCGACAGCTCAGACGCGGGTTCTAGTTTCTTTGATGACTTTTGCATTCCCGTAAATTTGGTTATAACTGCAATTATCATAATATTGGTGTATAAAATATATGCGAAGTTTACAAAGGTTCCTGCTGAAAGCCCGGCGCTGGAGTTACCCAAAATTCGTAAGGATATGACAGTTGCCGAACTTCGTCAATATGATGGTAACCAGCCTGACGGCAGGGTGCTGGTGGCAGTCAACGGGTGGATATTCGACGTGACGCGAGGACGCAGATTCTACGGGCCCGGTGAGTGCATCCGCACCGCTGTTTATAAATAGAGTTGACATTACCATGACTCATTAATTATCCATTCAAAATGCAGACTGTGCACCTTGAGTAACCTTTTGCATTATAAAAACATTGAACGTATTTTTATTGATATTAAAGCAACTGTCTTAAAATAATACACTGCTATATTTTTAATCTAATTTAAAATTGAAAAGTACCTACCATTATGTGAGTATTTTTGTAATTCAAATGTCTTAATTTCAATATGTTCTAAAGGTGGACCCTACGCAGCTTTTGGAGGGAAGGATGCATCGAGAGGTCTAGCTACATTCTCAGTGACATCATCAGACAAGGAATATGATGACCTTAGTGACCTTAACTCAATGGAAATGGAATCTGTCAAGGAGTGGGAGGCGCAGTTCAGAGGTATGTGTTTAAAATATATTCATTTACTATCTTCTACCCGTGACTTTATATGCGCAATGCTGTTTTCTCCAGTTCCTGTAGGATTTTCAGGGTTTTTTCTGTCTTAAAAACCTTCTCCTAATAATAACAAATACAACAAAAAAAGAATTAGTGAAATCGGTCCAGCCATTCATGACCAAGGGAAAAAGGGATTCATTTTTAAATACATAGAAGATAGTTAATGGAACCCTGATACCGTCTATCTTCACCCTGTTTTACTGTTAAGCTTTATTATAGGTACATACTTATTTATTTTTACAAATTTTTAAGGGCACTATTTGTAAACAGCCAAGCTGTCTAATTAGAAATGAACAAGAAATTACTTATGTGATTGCTTGTGTTGTTATAACTGATAGATATAAAGTTTTCTGGAAGATTGTTCTCTTTACAATGGGAGACTATTGAAAGAACTTGTGAATTGATGTACACTATATATCGAGATCAATGAATACAATAATGACTGTACATTCATGAAGGTTCTAATTGGGCCAGAAGGACATGTGAGTTATACTTTGCAAACCAAGTAGATACCTAGATAATGTGAAGCCTCTTTACATATTCATCAGGAACTAGACTCGAAATCTTGCCTAATAACTTGGTCATTAATTTTAAGTCAAATATTGTTTGTGTGTCTATCTATCAAGTGTGAACTTATTTAAAACCTAACTTCACTGTAACTTAATTTATTAAATCTAAAATAATAATTTATAACGAATCTTATTGAAATAGGTACCGACTTGAGGTTTTTGACACAATTTCGCAAACAATGTTGCAATAAAAAAAAATACTTGTATTTTTTAACTAATGTTTTAAGGGTGCTATAATATGTAAACAGCCAGACAGTCGAATTAGAAATCAACAAGAAATAACTTGTGGTAAATAACAAATCTTATTAATTTCGGTACCTCCTTGAGATTTTTTTTAGTATCGATTAATAAAAATTCAAAAGTAATTTCCAATAACTTGTGAATAAGATTCAATTTGCATTGTAGGTTTTTCTTTGGAGTTCTGGAAGCATGCAAAAAAACCATTAATATATATAGTAAATCCACGATGAAACCAAACAACTAACTAGTTATTACTTTTGTTTGTTTCATTGTCAAATATGTAAATCATACCTAAAACAACTATATTGTTTAGAACACAAAGGTTATAGGTATTTACATTTATAATATAACTAGCTGTTCCCTGCGACTTTGTCCATGTGGAATAGTCACTTTGGATAGTTCTTTACAGCTCCTCCCCTGTAAGTGATAGCATAGTAATGTAGCTTATATGTTGCCCCGGTCTATAAGGTATATTCATGCAAAATTGAAAGTAAATCGAAGCAATATTTATTGGGTTTAGCCTGGACATACATACAGACAAACAGGCAAAAAATCTAACACCCATATTTTTGCTTTGGTATCAACTGTAGATCAACACCAAAGTATTTTTTTTAAACATTGTACAGTTTTGTCTTTCCTATGATTTTATTATATATAATACTAGCGACCCGCCCCGGCTTCGCACGGGTGCAATATGCATTTATTATACATACAAACCTTCCTTAAGAATCACTCTATCTATTAAAAAAAACCGCGTCAAAATCCGTTGCGTAGTTTTAAAGATCTAAGCATACATACGGACATACAGCGAAAGCGACTTTGTTTTATACTATGTATTGATGTATGTATAGATTATGGAAAGTATCCATTCATAGATATGCGTAGATAATTCATTTGCGTACTTGAAATACTACACAAGCAACCATAGTTTGTTGTAGGAAACCTTATAAATTTTATTTGTGTGACCTATTTCTTATTGAGCGAAGGTGTATTATGTAAATAACAAGAGGTTAAGGTGCTGTATGTCTAAGTCAGTTAGTGGAAATAAAAAGCTAATGAGGCGTAAATTACCGCTTGATTAAACTGAAGATTGGTATCTTAGTAGATGAATATTCCTTGTGATATTGGAGATACCATAAGATTTTTTTTATTTTTCCTCGCATTCCAGCATTCCAACATTCCTCGGATAAAAGGTCTATGTGATAATCCAGCCACTAATCTATATTTCTGCTAATTTTCATTCAAATCCGTTCAAGCATTATTCTACTGTGAATCAGTGACGAACATCAATCTAAATCTAAAGTTTTGCATTTGTGATATTAAGTCGAAGTCAAAATCAAAGTATTTATTAGGCACTTTTGGAACTTCAAAATTGAATTGGGATGATGACAGGGTATGAAAATTAAAAGTCTAATTAGTCCGTCAGTTAGGTAATGAAAAAATATTAGAAATTTTTTTTTTGTCGTGTAATAAAACAATACTTAGATAAAACGAATAAAGGAGTACGAGAAGGAAAGGAAAGACAAAGTATAGGAGTGGGGGCTAAAACGTCATTTCTACGTATATAATGTACATAGAAGTGACGTCTGGCGACTTTTCAAATCAATATATCGTCGAAAGTATTCGTTTCTGTAAGAAAATAAAAAGTACATGTCGAATGATTTAAAATAATCTAATAGACGGACATTAAACTTAAAAATAGGCATCTACCCTATCGTCCGTTCGTCTGTCTCTCGGTGAAGCTAGGTGCTCCTTCAAAGTGTAGATCAAATGGAGAAGAACGATCAAGAAACTCCCATCTTTACGTCAAGTATAGATTCGTTTATTAAATCATAATTGTTATTTTAGTCTATTCTATAACCTTCATCAATTAACTGGCGCGAACTATTTCAATATGTTTTTCTAAGTTCTAAAGATAGCACATTCAATGCATCACTTTTTCACATCTATACGTCATTCGCTCAATTAATGCACGCTGGGAAAATAAAATGCTCTCGATTCTCGATTGAAGTGTCTGCAGACACACCTTAGCTATATCGTCCGACGTACGTCATTCTATTACCATTGTTAAACTGTCAAACACCAAGCGGTCACCGGTGACCGCGACCTATTGTTCTTTAATTGTGTCTATAAAACCGGTATTCGACGAGTTAACTGGTAATAAAGTTTTAATCTATTAAATACCACACCCTAAACTATTCTTGCACTCACCTACATTCTACCTAGGGTCCTGTTTCATAATATTTGATTAAGTTGTTCTTAGTTGTATTTGACACAGTCATATTTGATTTTGATTCGTACGAAACATTAGGTTAGTTCAGTGTTAAAGGGGCCCTTATTAGTGCATTCCAATAACAACACGATACTTGATAATATTCGAAGAGTTCCAACATCTATAGGGTGGAATGTTGTAATGCTACCTGAAGGGGATGTACCTGCTCGTAATACTTTAAATGATAGAAAATTTTACTCAAATAAAACATTCCTTTTTTCATTGAAAAGAAAAAAAACGGCATTCAAAGATTTTAAAAAACACGGTAATCGAACCGACGTAAATCTGGAAAAATTGCACCCTGTACTTTATTGCTTCGATCGTTAGGGTCAATAAGGATGAAATTTCTTTAACAAACTTCATAAATTGAATGAAAAGAAAACAATGAAATCTTAAATTATTAATTCAATGATTGACCAAATTAAAGTATTAAAAGTTCCCCTTTTATATTAGACTTTATACAAAAGGTAACAAACGTGTGAATGGCGTAATAATTGAGAAAATGTTGCTGTATCAAAGCCCAAACATCTCTATTGTGTTTAATCAACTAATTACTTAATTGCAGTGTAAATAAGATTCATTACATTTTTGACTGTTGTGTATTCGTAACATTACACACTTAAAATAATTGGCTTGAATTTCCATAGTGAGTTTTTGTGCACGAAGATGTCACCAGGGTTCATCTAAAATTCGCTATCCATTCTACTGATATTTTTTAGTCGCGGAGAACCTAACGAGTTACCGGGGCTCCGGCTCGGCGTGCAGGAGAAGGAACCTCACCCAGCCGGGAGCAGCCATTCGATAATTTTCCCCCCTTAAAAAATACTACTGATAATTTGTTGGCTTCCTTCGCATGTTATATCTTAAGTGGAGAAATGTGATCAATCTTGACATTTTCCGAGTTCATTTATGCTACTGCTACGCTTGTCACTTTTTATATCGTTATGCGAACTGGATTACATTGGTTGGTCTTTACGCCTCAAAATCTACTAAAGTTAAAGTAAAGAAAGTTATTAAGGAAAATCAAACATGACACGACCAATAACCGTTGTTCCTCACACCCATTAGGAAATTAGGTTATCACAGCAGTTACGTTATCACATTTTATCAGTTACTGGTTACAAATCGATGCGACTAACCCCCAGACGACTAATATCTCATTTTTCGAAAGCGAATGAATAACAATATCGTGACACAGCACATAACTTATTCCACTCTCTGAAAAATTCAAGTTAGAAGGCGCAAAAGATTGCGAAATTAGTTCCATTATATTATATAGGTCTTAAAAGTGATTGCCGAAGAGAGCTTATCTCATAGTTTAAGTTGAAATAAAAAATAAACTAGGTACGAGTGTGAATACAGTGACAACAATCCAACAAACGAAGCAAGTAAGCAATCCTTTTTATAATAACTATCGTGAGGCATACTAAATTAACTATAAATCGCTTGTTATTCACCTGAAAGTACTGAGAAAGGCTGCGGGACATCGCCGTGACGTATTCTGCTTATGAGGAAGAACCCCTCTATGGTTGGAAACTAGAGCCTTTCTCAATACTTTCACGCGAGTAACCCGCGATTTTTAGTTAATTAACTAAATTTTTAGTTATTTAAGGGCCTATTTTTCATTGCTCAGTTAAAGTTTATCAGAGAAATAACTTTGAATATTTGACAGAGACAAATGTCAATTTTATTATGACGATTGAAAAATTGGCCCTAAGTAATTTAACAATCCATTCCATAAACCTGCATTGTTTTACCATGATTCTCTATCAAAATGTTCTTTATAAGAAAGTTGTTTCTGTCTACCCAAACTACGTGCTTAATAAATCAGTCCTACTTAAACGTTTTCCGCATTGGACAAC